ACTCCATTGTACAGATGGGGGACTGAAGCACAGAGGGGCTCAAGGTGAAATTTTCACTAGGGTCTAAGTTTCATTTAAAGTCCCTGCACTTAAGTTCCTCAGGCCCAGATCCTCAGAGGTATTTAGGCAGCTAATTCCCAGTGGGAGCTGGTACCTCTTGACATCTGGTTTCAAAAAACTAGAACGATATAAAAGGACCATGGCACACATGAAATGGATTAAAAACTGGCTAACTGATGGGTCTCAAAATGTCATTGTAAATGGAATTGTCATGGAGCAAGTGAGTTTCCAGTGGGGTCCTGCAGGGATTGGTTCTTGGCCCTTTGCTATTTAATGTTTCTTTTTCAAGGACCTAGGAGAAAACATAAAATCATCACTGATAAAGTTTGCAGATGACACAAAAATAGGGGAAGTGGGAAATAATGAAGAGGGCAAGTGACTGATACAGGGTGCCCTGCATCACATGGTAATCTGGGTGCAAGCAAACAATGTGTGTTTTGATATGGCCAAATGTTAATGTATACATCTAGGAGCAAAGAATGTGGCCCATACTTACAGGATGGGGGAGCCTACCCTGGGAAACAATGCCTGTGAAAAAGATTTGGGGGTCATAGCGGACAATCAGCCGAACACGAGTTCCCAGTGTGACGTTGTGGCCAAAAGAGTTTATGTGATCAGGGATACATAAACAGGGGGCTCTTGACTAGAAGTAGAGAAGTTATTTTACCTCAGTACTTGGCTCTAGTACAAGTGCTTCTGGAATGCTAAATCCAGTTCTGGCGCCCACAATTCAAGAAGGATGCTGATACATTGGAGAGGGGTCAGAGAAGAGCCACAAGAATGATTAGAGGATTAGAAAACCTGCCTTCAAGTGAGACACTCAAGGAGCTCAATTTATTTAGCTTAACAAAGAGAAGGTCAAGGGGTTACTTGATGACAGTCTATATGTATCTCCATGGGAAAGTAATATTTGATAAGGGGCTCTTCAATCTAGCAGAGAAAGGTCTAACACAATCCAGTGGCTAAAAGTTGAAGCTAAACAATTTCAGACTGGAAATAAGGTGTAAATTTTTAATAGTGAGAGTAATTTACCATTGGAGCAACTTGCCAACAGTCGGGGTGGATTCTCTATCACTGACCATTTTAAAATCAAGATTGGATCTTTTCCCTAAAAGATACCCTCTAGGAATCATTGTGGGGCAGTTCTCTGGCCTGTGTTATACAGGAGGTCAGACTAGATGATCACAGTGGTCCCTTCTGGCCTTGGAATCGATGAAACTGGGCCTTACGTGCTTGTCACATTTAAAAATGGGACTGAACCCCTTTTGAAAATTTTACCTTCAGTGACTTGCCCAAGGTCACCCAGAAAGTCTGTGGCAGAGCAGGAAAAGGAATACTGGTCTCCAACTGCCAGGCTAGCATTCTGATCACTAGACCATCCTTGTCCTTACTGACTGCCTGCAGAACATAGGCAATATACACAGAGAGAGAGAGAGAGAGAGAGAGAGAGAAGAATAATTTAATTCATCACCAAAATGCAGCTTCCTCTGAGGCAGAACATGACAGCTGTTTAACAGCCCAGAGAACCAGTATACACTATATAAAGATGGGGGGTGGGGGGAGGGAGGGAAGAATAGCATCCAGTTAGAACTGCAGGGAGGATTACGTAGGCAGCCAAATTCTAACGGCTGCCCGGCCATACCCTCATTCCTCAGGGCATAAGCCACAACTGTCTGGGGACTAGGAAGAAACCTCTCATCTGGTCAGGTTATTCTGTTACGGATATTTTGTCTCCTTCCTCTGAAGCATCTAGCCATAATGGCAGGATACCGAACCAGACGAAGCCCTTGTCTGATCATTCTTATTGTTCCTAGGTGCTGCAGGATATCTAATGAGCACGAGGGGTCAGGCTCTCAGTTTTACTTCTCATCCAATAAGATGGCCCCTCCAGCACTATAGTGACCTCTGACCCCACCCCAGGGCACTGATTTAGACCTGCCCAGGGAGCAGGTGTTAGTTCACGAGGGGCCAGGCTCTGGCCTTTTTGTTCCACACACATCCCTCTCATGGAGCGTAATGGGAATTCCCCGTATAGTCTGGGGCACGAATAGCCCCATTGGAGTTATTATGGCTAGCAGCATCTAAGGTGGGCAAGACCAAGAGGGCCTGGGCCAGGCTCAGCCATTTTGTAGGATTTCTAAAGAGGACAGCGGTGTCCAGAGCTCAGGCAGGCTCTGGGATCATGCAGCAGCTTTTGGGTCCCCTCCTTGCCGGAGGAACAGCTCCCCAGTGTCCACCACCAACGAGCTTTGGCAGTCAGGTCAGGTTCCTCTGTTTGCACGGTTTCCCTCAGACGGGCACTGAGATCCAGGGCAGGTCCTGCTTGGTTTCAGATGAACAAGGAGGATAATGCCTACCATGTGTTTGCGTGGTTTGTTTGTGGCTGTACCACAATCAATGTCCTGGCAGGTATCGTTCTGTAGAGCCAAAGAGGGGACAGGTGCTCACGTCAAACTGGGGTGTGGCACTGGCCCTCTCAGCAGAGGACTCAAAGACCCATGGAGACCAAGTTCTCCAGACTCTTAGAGGTGTTCCCACCACGTCAGGGTGAGGGGCTGTGTGTGTGCACAGGGAGTTGGCATTGTCACTGCCCATGTTGTACCAGAAATGGAGGATTCTGGTCTCCAGGGCTATCACTCCAGGACTTTTCAGGTGTGCTACCATTCATTCCAACATATTAGAGTCTTCCTCATTATAATACAATGCCCATGTGCATGAATACAGCCTCTTTGTGTGTCAGGGCGTTAGCCACTGGAGGAGAAGACTACAGTACGGGAATAGCATGGGCTAAATAAGTAACCAAGGGTCCCCCATTTCTAAAGAGGCAAATGTAACAACTACTACGAGCCAGCGTTTGCCTTGTCAACTGGGGCCAGAGGCTGATGCCAGGATGGGCTGAGGCAGACAAGCAAACAGCGGGAATAAATGGTCAATGTTCACCATGGGTGTTGGGTATTTTTTTATCTTGCACTTAGCTAAAGGATCAGATGACTCAAAAGAAGGACTATGGCTTGTGTGCACCCAATGGAAGGGGAAAGGGAGACAGGCAGTTGCGGGGGAAATCAAGCACAGGGAAATTTCAGCTGGAGAGCAGGAAGCTGGACAGCCTGGCTCTGATGTCTATGAGGCAGTGGAATAGTCCTCCCGTGGCAGTGGTGGAAGTCCCATTTGTTTGGGATGCTTGCAGCTGGACTGGGTGAAGTTCCACACGAGAAGGTAGCATAGAGCAGACTTGCAGGGGACGGTCCTGCTGAAGGGGATGGACTAGTGATCCAATAGGTCATTCCCATCCTTAATTTCAAGGCTGATGTCACAAAGAAAATCCCTCCGGTGCCCAGAATAAGAAGCCATGCAGGAGAAGCCAAGCTGAATAACGAATGCATTTCCAGCGCCGGCACGTGATCAGTTCTGACCGGTTTCGGATAGCTATCTACACTGAGGCTTCCCTAGCGTTAGTTAACAAGGATCAAGGGGGGGCCTGGTGTATTTGCCCAAGGCAGATGTCAATTTCACACTTGATTAAATTCCCTTCCTTTCATCCCTCATCGGAAAGGGAAGAAGCATTTAGTTTGGTAAATAATGCTTTCCTTACAGATCCTCAGCGGGGGTGGTAACAGTTGCCTCATTATCCTTAGGAAATGGTGTATTTCTCACACACAGCTCTGCCAATGCCCCTCAGTCCAAACCCGCAACCCCTTGCTATCCCAGCCCTGGGCTCCCCACCCAAAACTCTGCCAATGCCCCTTCCTCCTGATCTGCAGCCCCTCCTGGGTCCCCCCCACAGCTCTTCCGATGTCCCTTACTCCTGACTCTCAGCCCGCTGCCATTCCAGCCCCTATGCTCCCCACACAACCTACTCTATCAATATGTCTCAATCTTGACCCACATCAGCTGTAGCACCTTGTGTGCAGGTTTTGTGGTGAGGGACAGAGATTTACTTTATGAACCACCAAAGCCCTTCTCTTGGGCCCTCCATTGCAGATCTCCAGAGATTTTGATTTGTTGGTGCCTGGTGGTCGTCTCTGGATCACCTTCGGTCAAAGTCATCCTTGGCGTTGAATCTGGTGGAGCCAGAGCCCACCCTGAGACAGCGCCCCCCCTCTCCCCAGGGCACTGTTATCAAAGGCTTTCCATCTTTCTCAGAATCACAGAATATCAGGGTTGGAAGGGACCTCAGGAGGTCATCTAGTCCAACCCCCTGCTCAAAGCAGGACCAATCCCCAATTTTTGGCCCAGATCCCTAAATGGCCCCCTCAAGGATTGAACTCACAACCCTGGGTTTAGCAGGCCAATGCTCAAACCACTGAGCTGTCCCTCCCCCCTTCTCTTCTCCACCATGTTCCTCTTCTGAGTCTCGTGCTTGGGAGCAGGATGTTGGCCTCACGGGTTCTAGCAACTACACCTGAACCTGCTGTCTTTGCCTTCTGTAAGTGGCACCGCAGCCACCCGATGGGGCGGGCGCAAGGGAGGGGTTTGATGCCCACGGGCGGGGAGCGAACGTTTGGCTGGCTGAACTCAAGGGCAGAAGGGGCTATTGCAGTCAGCTAGTCTGACCTCCTGGGGGCCAGAGAACAATTCCCGGTTTGACTAGAGCAGATCTTCTAGGAAACTGTCTCAGGCAAACATGCTCAGACAGAGTGGGGCTTTAAAACCTCCAGCCTGGGGGAGAGAGGGCTGTCTCTTTACACACTGCGGGCAAAGCCACCCAGGAGAGGAGCTGGGGAAGGAGAGAGATCCCGAGGCAGGGGAATAGGAAGGACAGGTGTTTGGGGAGGGAGAGGACTGGTGGGAACGGGAGAGCTAAGGTGTCCCGGAGGAAGGGAGAGGAACAAGAAGTGGTAGCTGTGGGGGTGAAGGAGAGGGGTTGTGGGGGGAGTGATTGGGGGAAGGGAAGAGGAAAGCACTGCCCATGAACTGCTGGCATTGTTTTTCTCTTTCAGTGCCCGGCGCCGGCATCGCCCGATGGTGCACGGACCTCCCTCAGGCTCACCGGGCTGGGGTGCCACCCGCTTACCAAGTCTGCCTCTCGGCCCTTAACCGGAAATGCCCTTGTGGAGCCAGCGCCCCGCCCCACAGTGCCCTCTTCCCCCCAACGCCAGCACCCCTCCCTGTGCCCCCGCCGCCCCCTGGCCTGCACCATGACAGGGGCCTTGCTTGCTTCCTGCGGAGGGGCGTGCGGCAGGCGGAGCGGCTCTGGCTGAGGGATGGCCTCTCTGGACCTGCCCTACCGCTGTCCGCGCTGCGGGGAACACAAGCGTTTCCGGAGCCTCTCCTCACTGCGGGCCCACCTGGAGTACAACCACACCTATGAGACCCTCTATGTCCTCTCCAAGACCAACAGCATCTGCGATGCCACTGTCTTCCCCTTGGCGTCCGACGCCACCCTGCTGACCCCGGCTGCCCGCCGGGAGATCTTCGAGAGCACCTCCTTCCAGGGCAAGGAGCAGCGCTTTGCCTGCGACCTCATCTCGGCCGACGAGCTGGAGCCCACCTCTTCCTCTGCGTCCCGCTACGTGCATGAGATCGAGATCCCGCTGACTGAGATCTTCACCCGCAAGGCCATGAGCTCGGCCACCACCCCTCCCGCTGCTGCCGCGGTGGACGCCGCCTATGAGGAAGGCCTGACCCGCCTGAAGATCCGGGCCTTCGAGAAGCTGGAGGTGGACAAGCGGCTGGAGAAGCTGACGGAAGAGGTGGAGCAGAAGATCGCCTCGCAGGTGGGCCGGCTGCAGGTGGAACTGGACCGGAAGAGCTCGGAGCTGGAGAAGGCCAAGCAGGAGAGCGTGAGGCTGAGCCGGGAGAAGCAGGAGCTGGAGGACCGGGCGACGGAGCTCTCCCGCCAGGTGGACGTCAGCGTGGAGATGCTGGCTTCCCTCAAGCAGGACCTGGTGCAGAAGGAGCAGGAGCTGACCCGCAAACAACAGTGAGTCTCTGCCCCATCTTCTCTGCAGGGGGAGGCATGCGTGTGCTCCCTTGCACACACTAATGTGCTTCCGTGTGGTCTCATGTGTCCGCAGCAGTGCACATGTCTCTGTGCTCATGTGTGATTCTGTGTGTGTGTATGTTTCCACTCTCAGGGTGTGTGTGTGTGTGTGTCATTGTCACAGAAATACAGGCCAGCTCCTCAATAAGCGGTGCCATAGAAGAATGTAGGACTTGTCATACTAGACCTTCTGGATCTCGATGGGTAAAGCCAAACTTAATGCCTTCGTACCCCTTCCAGACTGTTAGCATTAACTATTATAACTGTGGATACTTTGTTAGCCATATAAATGTCCAGTCCTCTTTTTATGCCCGTTTAAACCAGCTAAGGCTCTGATGCTCGGACATTAGAGATGCAAAGGACCAAAGAGCTCGTCCAACCCGTACCTCACAGCCAATGCAGGGTTGGTCCACTAGAGGAGCTTGTCTAGTGTTCAGTCCACTTTAGTTTTAAAATGTCCCAAGCAATGTGGCTTCCGCTCTTTTGAGGCTATTTCACAGCTCGATCCATCTCCCTGACAAGCAGGACTTCCTTGACTGAAGCCTTCCTGTTTTCCTCCCATAACCCCAGTCATAGCCCTCGCACCACCCTATCTTCTTCCCCTTCTGGGTGTTTCGAGTCTTGCAGGTCCTGGGCTATCTAGTCCCCTGCCCGGAATCATTGCTTAGCCACACTAGATCTGTTTCATCTCTTCCCTTTAGTCAGTCCTTCCAGCCTCTTGATGGTTTCTGTTGCACTTCTCTGAACCCCCCCCCCGGTTTGGGCATCATGATGCCCACCATGCAATACAATATTCCAGAAGTGGTCACAGCGGCCCCCTGCAGCCAAGAAGTATTCCCTCTAGAGCTAGTTGGGAAATATGTTTTATTTCTTGTGAACAATGTAGAAGAAAATGAAATACAGAGTGATACATACCAGGGAGGGAGAAGAGGTATTTCAACTAAAGGAGAATGGTGGCACAAGAACAAATGGGAATTAATTGGCCATGAGTAGATGAAGGCTGGCAATTAGAAAAGTGTTTCTAGCCATCAGAGGAGGGTGGTCTGGAACAGACTCCCAATAGGAGCAGGCAGTGGGGGGGAACCTATTGAGAGTTAAGACGGTGCTTGGTAAGTTTCTAAACGGGATGATATGACAGGGTTGCCTGGGAAAACATGGACTGGACTTCATGGCCCAGGAGACCTCTTCCAGTGCTACGTTCTTCTGAAACATATTTGGTGGCACCGAAATTGTGATGGAAAAACAGTGGACGTTTCAGAGGAAAACGGAAAACACATAAAGCCAAACCTGATTTGCTTTTGCTTTTCAGTTGTCGGAATCTGAAACGTTTGCCGTGAAAACCTGAAAAAACATTGCCAATGCTAGACATTGTCTTGCGCTATGTCCATTTCTTCCGAAAGGCAGTTTTCATTGAAATACAAATGCTGGCAAAACATTTCCAACTAGCTGTAATGACATCCCTGTGCTGAAATGAGATGTCTCTGTGCATAGAGCCAAGGGGTCCACCATTTGTTGCTGTACTGCATCATAAACTCAGGTCTGTTCTGCTTTCCCCTTCCCACCTGAGGGCTGCTTCAGCATAGTTGCTTTCCAGATCTCACCCTCCTAACAAAGATCTGTCCTTTGGATTATTTCCCCCCCCCCAGATCTATTCCCTTGTATTTCCTGTTCACGTCTCCAGCTTCTCCAGGGGCCAGATCTCAGCTGGTGAAAATCAAAGTAACTTCATTGACTTCAGAGGAGCTACACTGATTTACACGAGCTGAGGACCTAACCTGGTAGGTCCTTTTGTGTTAGTTCTTTGTCCTTACGGATGTCACAATGCCTCTCATTTAGGATCATCTGTGGATTTAACTAATGTGACATCTACTCTCTCTTCCACATCATTAATGGAGATGTCAAATAAAATGGGACGTCAGCCACTACTGTACCCTATTCTCACATCCCGCCCTTAATCTGCTACATTGCCATATATCATTACCCTTTGTTTATGGCCTTCCAGCCAAATTTCCATCCGTGCAACAGTGTTCAGATCCCTGCCAGCTTAAATTAATTTTTCAAGTAAGATTTCACAAGCCAAGGTATAAAATGTTTGACTAAAATCCCAGTACGTTACATCGGCTGCATTCCCATCCTCCGATAAATTTGTAATCCTATAAAAAAAAGCCAATCAAGGTTGTTGGGCTTGATTTATTCCTTGTAACCTCTCAATGCTGCTTATGGCTCGCCAGTCTGTTTATCCTGTGTACTCGGGATCTGTTTTTACTATGGTTATTTGTTCAATCGCTTCACTAAGGATAAACGTAGACAGATGCGGCAGTAATCATCAAGGTCTCTCTTCTTCCACTGTTTGAATATCAACGCTACCTTTGATTTTCCCGTCCTCTGGTCCCTTCCCCCCAGTAATTGTCAGCAGTGCAGTGAACTCCTCCACTAGTTCCCCAAGACGCATGGCAGCTGGGCCAGAAGTTACTGTATGGGCCCATTTTCCAAATATTTCCTGACCTGATTAATATTAATATTCTTCCCAATTGCTCCTACTTTTTGGGGGGGAGGATGACGCATTTGGAAAAAGGGCTCGACATCTTAGCCGGTTTCAAGTCATTCATTTCAACCTCCTCCTCATTTATCACTGGCTCTGGGTTCTCCCATTAACCCCTTTGGCTAGACTTAACCTATTTTGCTATTTTCTCTGCCAGCTGCTCTGTGCTTGCCAGCCCTTCCCTCCCCCACCCTTTTTTTCCCCACTTACACTGCGGGTGCACTGTGAGTGCATTTTTAACCTCCGATCTTCAATCCATTCCCACTTGAAGAGTTCATTGGTTCTTTGCCTAGTTCTTTTTCGGAGACTCTGCAGGCTCTTTGGGGCAGGGAGCCTCTTTCTCTGACATTTGTACCGCACCTCGCAGAAAGGGGCCCTGTTCTTTGATTAGGTGGGAAGAAAAATAATACGAATTAATAATCACCTATAATTATGACAGCCCTGCTCCCTCTTCCTCCCATCCCCTTTGTTTCTCCCCTATTTCACCCCATCAACCTCCAAATACAAACCCGTGGGACTCTGGCCTTATCCTTAGACTGTAAGTTTTTGGGGACAGAGACCATCTTTTTGGTCTGTGTTTGTACAGCACTCACCCCATAGGGTCCTGGTGTGGGGCTCCTAGGCACTACCGCAATACACCTGCCTAATAGCAATATAAATGTACAGCACCTGGCACAATGAACCAGGACCCCATTACTGGGGCTCCTAGCTGCTATTGCAGAATAAATGATAAATAACACCACTAATAATCTTGGAGCGTGTGGCAAGCCCTCACTGCTTGGCCCTGATCCTGCAAACGCACATCTAAGGAGTCCCATTAAGTCCAGGGGGGTTACTCACCTGTGTATCGTCACTCCAATGCATCCAATCTAGGTGAGAGGTTTTTCGCAGGAGTGGGTGGATGAGATTCTGTGGCCTGCGTCACGCAGGAGGTCTGACTAGCTGATCATAATGGTCCCTTCTGACCTTCGTATCTATGAATCTAGCTCCAGTCTGAGCTGCAGGCTCCTCTCCAGGGTCCCTTGGCTAGTCTAGCGTGACGACTCCAGGAAGGTATTTATTCGGAGGGGGACAAAAACCTGTTTTGCTAAAGGGGATGCGAGAGCCTTTACGTGCTGTGTTTCTGCCGGTGCATTTCCTGTTACATAAAGCTCCCATCACAGGCGAGTTTTCCCAGGATTCTGCAGTGCAGCGCTGGGAAGGCAGGTGGATATTTTACCGTGATCTATGCACACAGAGGTAATTGTGTTGGATACTAAGCCAGACCCTGAGATGAAGCTGGTCTGTTTCCGGGCTTTGGGATTTGACTGTAAATTTCCTTTCAAACGCCAAGGCTGATCCCCAGTCTCCCTCCCGGGGGACGTCCTCTGGAGCACGTCCGTCAGGCCAGGAGGCACAGTTGTGGCAGGAAGCTATTCGTGGTGCGACGCACTGATGGGTTGCGGCATGCGTCACAATGCACTTGTGCTTGGCTGTGTGACGAGATGCACGTCGGGGCAGGGTGCTGTTTACATCACGGCGTGGCTCTTTGCGTCACAGCAGGAGGCTGCTGCCTGCAGGGCCGGGGTGGGGTAGGGGGGCTGACGGAGGTGAAGCTTTCGTTTGGATGCGACGGGGGCGAGGGAGCAACTCCAGCTGATTTGGATGGGCTGTGGCTCAAGCCCTGAGCCGCGATAGCAGTGGGTGCTGTGGATAGACCTAGCGATCGCATTTCAGCACAGCCTGGCTCCGGGAGCATTTTGCTGCTGGCAGAGAGAGAGCTGCTCTCCGCGGGTGGAGGCCTCTTCCTGGCTGATGTCCTGGGGCAGGCGTCACCATGTGGCCACTCAACACTGAGCCACCAAACCCTGTAACGATCCATGACCTTAGCGCGTAGGAGCCCCGGCCGCGGAGCAGGACCCCACGGAGCTAGGCACCGGACAAGCACGGAACTAAGAGAGAACCTCTGCCCCAGTACCCGCATTTTGCCAGGCGCACCCTGCCTTGAGCCAGACACCCCCAGCCCGGCATCTGGCTCGGAGAGACCCCGTCAGGCTGGCGCTGAGCCTCTCCACTCCCTTTGCAGCAGGGCTGCTGCGTGGCACGGAAGATTCGGAGGCGCAGCTAAAAGGAACGAGCCCCAAAGGGAGGTGAGGTGGATACTAAAGGGCACGGGGAGGCTGGGGGGGGCTATGAGAACATATCCCAGTGCTCAGTTCCCATCTGTGCTTAGTTAATTTAGAGGGGCATTTGCAGGTGGTGGAATCTCCTTCCTTAGAAGTTTTTAAGGCCCAGCTTGACAAAGCCCTGGCTGGGATGATTTAGTTGGGGATTGGTCCTGCTTTGAGCAGGGGGTTGGACTAGGTGACCTCCTGAGGTCCCTTCCAACCCTGATATTCCAGGCTGGCCCCACTCTGGGGTAGAGGGCCTGGCTCTGCCTCCACAGGTGAGGGAAGCAGGTCCCCTCGGAACCGGACTGAGACTGATTCAATTCAGAGTCCACCCGCGATGGCCGGCACTGCTGATCCAGGCTGGATTTGACCCAGAGACCGAGCCTGGAAATGCCCTGTAGCTTTTCACGAACCTTCTGACCCTTCCGAGCCCTGATGTGAAAACGACGCTGCGGTGTTTTTCCAGGAATCACCCCAAAGCCCAGTCATGACTCCAGTGGCCGCTGTCGTGTGCGGGGAGGCTGTTGCTGCGGGAGATCATGCTGGGTGTGTGGGTGGGAGGGTGGGTGTGGATGCAACAGGGGATTTTGACTGTAGCATTTTCATAACCTGGCATCTCCAGAGTTCTCTGCTCCAGCTGCTCTTTTCACCCTCTACCTGGAGCCAGAATTTCCGGCCAGGGCTGGCGCAGTGGGTGTCGGAGACGGGCTTGGCTCCCGCAGGCTTGTGACCTCAGTGACGGCATCGTGCTGCCGGAGTGACGGAGCCCCAGACGATCCAAGCCCCCGATTCTGTGTATTGGCGAGTGAGGGACACAGCTAGCCAGGGTCCAGGATCCTGCAGGGGGGCAGGATCAGGCCCATAGGGGGCAATTAGGCAGCATCTGTGCACAGCCTTCCCCATTGCCCTGGCCCCATCGGCGAGGTGTGAAGTGACCCTTGTGATTCCTGTTGCTCTGCTATTAAACGGAGCAGAATCCAGGGCTCAGCAACCAGAGCTGCTTCATAATGAGATGATAGCTCAGCCTGCTAAACCCAGGGTTATGAGTTCAATCCTTGAGGGGGCCATTTAGGGATCTGGGGCAAAAATTGGGGGAGTGCTCCTGCTTTGAGCAGGGGGTTGGACTAGATGACCTCCTGAGGTCCCTTCCAACCCTGATAGTCTATGAGTGAGAAGTAGCAGGTCTCGTTTTCCGAGCCCTCTGTTCCAGCCAAGTGCCGCTGGTTGACAGAAGGGACCGATCTGATGCTGAATGTCCCCCAACTCAGCCCCTCCCAACACAGCCGATCTGGCTGGAGAAGTCTCCTGGCTGTGTTCACAGGGGAAAGGTGAAGGCAGGGTGGGGTACAACCGCCCTCCCTCTGACTGGTCAGTGCATGGACGGGAGACCTGCAAGGAAGAAACGCAAGAGCGCAGGTCTTGGTGATTCACTTGGTGATCCCCTCTGAGTCTGCTGAACCGGCGCCCTCAGCTCGGGGGACAGGGGGCGCGGTGCTGCCCTCACGTCAGGTGCCCACACCACCCCTTTTCCCGGGGGGAGGGTTTGCCCTCGTAGCCTGCTCAGATTCCAATCTGGATTCCCCAGCAGTTTCGGCTGGAGAAGGTGCTACTCTTCTCCTCAGTGCTGCCGAACAGCTGCTGCGTTCCACCCCAGACTTGGCCGCTGGTTCAGCGGTGGGAGAAGCGCTTTCTGCGCTCGATGGAAGTCCAGCGATCGGTTCGTCACGGAGGTCTTACGGCAGGTTCCTCCGAGCCAGAATTGCCATCTGCCCACGGAGATGCACTCAGTGGGAGGTCATTAGGTGGAAAAAATTTGGTGGACTTCAGTCCATATTGCAAAATTCCCTGACACAACTGGTCCTGTGGCAATGGGCCCCTTGTGGGGAATCAAAGCAGAGAGGCTAAGGGGTACATTGGCCATGGAGAGTGAGCTCTCATCTGTCCGAATGTTCCCTGCTGGGAGGTGAGGCCCATCCGCATTGCTTGTGGGAGCTGTTTGCTCTGCAGCTGTCCATTGTGGCCTAGCAAAGGGCCCTCAGCCTCCAGGCCTGGGAACTGAGCAGGGAGGACAGGACATCTCCCAAATTCAGCAACCCCGCCCCCCTTTAACTCTGAGAGCTCCCATCCCCTCTCAGTTCCACTCGGCTGTCCCTGGCTCTGCCCAGAGCGGCGTGAGACACATTCTGTGCTAGAAATAGTTGGATCCGATGAAGTGAGCTGTAGCTCACGAGAGCTTATGCTCAAATAAATTGGTTAGTCTCTAAGGTGCCACAAGTCCTCCTTTTCTTTTTGCGAATTCAGACTAACACGGCTGCTACTCTGAAACCTGTCATTGGATCTCTTTGGCATTCCCAGCTAGCCTGGTCTCTGCTCTGCCCCCTTTCTCAGGCCAGCAGCGGGTGAGAGGGCATGGGGGGGCTGGGGTTGGGAAGTGAGCACAGACAGTCCTCTAGCTTCAATCAGCTGCCCAGAGAGGAGGGAGGCTGACGGGGAGCAACGCAGCTCATTTGCCTAGTAAAATGCTGAATGCTGTCAACGCCAGAGCCCTGTGGCCTCTGGGCTTTAACTCAGAGGCTGCAGGGAAGCGTCGGTTCTCCAGGTGCCGTTGGGGAGAGGAGGCCAGGGGGTAAATATGCCAGGGAGCTTTGGAGGTGCATGAAGTGAGCTGGGGACAGGAGCCCCTTTCGCGACAAGAAGGGCTTGTGGGGAAGCGAGGTGCAGATAACGGGTCTCCTCGGTACGTCTAGAGTCCTCGGTGCAGGAAGAACTAACGGCTGTGCACATTCACTGTGCGATAAATCCCACCACGCATCTCAGTGAGCCGAGATGACCCCGCCCAAGAAATCCAGTCTGCCAGGAGCTCTGGGTCCCACCTCCACCTCCATTGCAGACCTCCTGGGTGAGCTAATGGCTACAACACAGGACAAGGCACCAGGATTCCTGCGTCCAACCGAGACTTGCTGGGCAAGTAATTTCACCACTTTGTGCCTTGGTCTTCCCTTCCCTAAAGCAGGGGTTGAAATATTCCGCCTAAATCCGTCAGAAGGTAAATAGCGTGACGGCAGCTCTTCCATAGGTGATAAACCCTGCAGAGGGATGGTTAAGGTCACTGGCAGGGCAGAGCTGGCTCCAGGTTAAGATGCAGGGGTTCACGTGCACCCCATGTTCCCTGCCTGTCTGAAACTGGCACAGAAGGTGAAGCTGGCCAGTATATTCCTGGTGCCATGGGCCTGGCAAGGCCAGTCTGTGGGAGGATGAACGGCAGCCGGTGGAATTAGCCCCATTAAGGTGTCATGTTAAACGGGTGAGTGGAGAGCGAACAGGGATATATTTCAGGAGAGACAACGCCAGGTCAGCTCATCCCCACTTAACGCGGTCTCTCTTGGGTGCCTCTCGTCATCCCTGGCTGGACGATCGACTGCTGCTGAGCACAGAGGGAGAGGATTCTCATGACACACAGACAAAGAGATTGGCTGGTTCGTTTAGACTCAAGCACTGAGCACCTGTGACTCCTGCCAATGCCAGCAGGAGCCCTGACTTCTCTGTACCTCAAAGCCTCAGGCCCGAAGAATCCAGAGAGCTGGGTGACTCCTGCACTGGGGATGTACAGCTTAAATCCCTTGGAAATGTACCTCAATATACTATCCCCTTCCCTTTCCCCTCCTCTCCCAGCCAGACCCCAGGGAACTGGAACAGGTGCAAGGGCATGTGGGGCGAAGCTTGAAGGGGATCAGGGTGGGAGGAGATTGGGTGGGGTGGGATCCTGGGCAGGGTTATATTGTGGGGTCGGCCAAGGAACAGGGTTGGGATGGGGTTATGGGAGATGGGATGAGGCTGATCGAGGGTGGGAGGCAGCAGGGGCTTGGCATCTCTGGAAATCAGACCACTAACATTTGTGCCTCAGTTTCCTGGTTGTTCAAACAGGGCTGGTGATACTCCCCTGGCTCCCAGAGCTTTGCAAGCTGCCATGTGGCAGAGGGCGGCGGGATCCGCCGGGGGAAGGGCGGCCTTACGGCGTTTTCACCTCTGCCTCTCACTGTCTCCCCTGCGCCAGGGAGGTCGTCCAGATAGACCAGTTCCTCAAGGAGACGGCGGCCCGCGAGGCCAACGCCAAGGTGCGGCTGCAGCAGTTCATCGAGGAGCTCCTGGACCGGGCCGACCGGGCGGAGAAGCAGCTCCAGATCATAAGCTGCAGCACCACCCCCAACGGCAGCCTGGGAAGGTGCAGCGTGCCCGGCTCCAAGGGCGCCAGCAGACCGGTATCTCCTCTTCGCGTCATGCCAATTACGTCTATTGCTTGCCAGGCCCTCTGGGAAGCCACCTTCCTCCATGGGCGCATTTGCCAGCCTTCTCTCTCTCATCTGTGCTATTGTGTAGTAAGGGCTGCTTGCATCGCAAGCTAAGCAACATTGAGTGGGAGCAATGGTTGGATGGGAGACCGCCCTGGAAAACGTTCTGTTTCTGCGGACGGGTGGTGGGGGTGGCTCCTGAGAGGCCACTGATTCAGTGCTGAGCCCCTGTCCCCACCGCTACTTGAGGAGCCTGGCGCAGTGGACTAGCTGGCCTCTTGAGGTCCCTTCCATCCCGCCGAATCTATGATTAAAGTTCCCCTAGTGCTCTTGCTAGAGCCGGGCTGTTCGCCCCAGGCTCCGCCCCCAATTTCCAACCTAGGGAACCATCTTCGACGTTGAGAAAAAAACACGTGTGGATTTTTATTTGGCCAATTTACTCGTCAGTACCTCCTTTCTGGGTAGTGCAAAATGCCGTGCACATTCCACCCCAGAAGTGGCCCCATTTCAAGGGCAAGTCACGCCCAGCCTGTCAAGTGCAAGGCGCTGTATAAATGGGAGGTTTTGCTGGTCTCATCCTGCATCTTTGGACGGGGGAGCAGACTCCAAGGTGTGTTGGGAGTTGTGCCTGGGCTGGAACCCACCCTGCTTGCCCACATGGCTCAGCTGGCCAAGGAGCTATTTTGCTGGAGATGCTGCACTGCACCCTGGTGATCTGCTGATGCTGGCATCATTACACCAGTGTCATCTCTCAGCGCATGGTATGTCCACACACAGTCAGTCAGGGTACCCCCTGGGGGAGGCTTTTCCCGAGTTGAATGAGTTGGAAAGGCTTTCAGTGTCTGGTCTCCTTTTCTTCCTTCCTTTTGCCCCAGAGAGACAGGCACGCCGGCCCCGGGGCAGCTGCCCACAGCTCCTACGCGGAGTCCAATCAGAGATCGTCCTCGAGCACCGGGTAAGCAGTCTCCATACGCCTTGGCCTTGGCTTTCGCCCAGTATCCTTTTCCCATCTCTCTTGCAGCCATGGGGGAGCTTCTCCCAGCAGGAAACAGGCTGAGCCGGATCAGTGCCCACGACGCCCATGAATGTGCACCCACGTGGCATGGGCACCTTCTGGCTCACATCCTCTGCAGCAGATGGTGGGGCTGGCTGAGTGTGTTTTGCTGGTGGTCACTAGGGCTTGGAAGAAGCCTGTGGTTCCTTTCCAGGGGAATTCTCTGCCAGCGGCTGGCGAATGCCCACCCAGAAACTGTCTTCTGCGACAGCCTGAAATTCTGCTTCCCAGCTTCCTTGTATGTGCGGAGCCTTCCCGGGTTCACAGCTAGTCGGAGTAGCATGGAGGATGGCGGTTTTTCCCTTTTGATCTGCCCTTCCTTTTCTTTCAAGCTTGGACCTGGATGGCTGCAGGTCTGCCCAGTCCATTGGCGGGTGGGTGGGAATGTCACAGCTGGACATGTCTGTATAACTGATCTCAAGCTGTTTGCCATGCTGAGTTGTACAAATGCTTTGAAGTCGGAAATCTGAAGGAACCGGGATAGGTGGGTGGGTTGATTCTTCTCCTCTCGCCCTGTGATCTTGTGGGAGGCACCAAGGTGTAAGACTGAGCTGTCAGAAATCTTTACTAGAACAGGACAGGGAGGTTTTGACATCCGGCCTCTTTTGATAGCGTGTTTCCAAGCAGTTAAGGTGCATTTGACCCAGACGTGAGGCTGAAGTTGCATCTGAATCAGGGTGGTGTCTCTGAAAGGTTTAATGTGATGGTGTAGCTGGAAGAGCAGACTTTTCTGCACACACCTCAGCTGGGTCTGGTCTCTGGGATCTGGGCTTTCAGTAGGTGACCCCAGGTACCAGCAGGAGAGGTGGTTCCCATTGTTTCAGGTGTCGGGAATGAGAGAGAGAACAGGACACTCAGTTCACTGGTTCTTGCTCTAGGACTGACCGTCTGGTCAGATCTTTTTAAATGCAGTGGATTCCATTCATTACCAACCCCTCGGTTACCAGCAGAAAGTTGCCATTATCTGACAGCTGCCAGTGAGTGAAGGCAAGTTTGCGAGGCTGCCACCAGGGAAGGAAGTGCTGGGCTGTGCCCTCCCTGGCTGCCACCCTGCCAACCTGCATCCAGGCAGGGCAGCAACAGGGGCTGCAGCCCAGATGCCCAGGCTTTCTAGAGGAAGCAGGGGAGCTAGGGGCCCCACAGAGCTGCCTGGTAGCCCCTCTCTGGGGGACATGGATCAGCACATCCCAGCACTTCCTTCCCTGGGCGCAGCCTCCTGGCAGGGCACATCCCGCAGAGTGCAGGGAGAGATACCATGCAGCTCTGGCACCCAGGCGGCAGCAGTCCCCTTCCCCACTACTGCCTTGCCCACAGCCTCCCCTCCCAGCTCGCAGCCCCTTAACTCCTGTGTGGTTCTGTGCGCAGGCAGGTTTGCGGGGCTGCAGCCCCTGAGGAAGCTCCAGGACATGCGGAGCACCGGCCGCAGGCACGTTTGCGGGTTGCAGGCAAGCGAGGTACATCCTAGCACTTCTTTCGCCGGCTGCAGCCTTGCAAACCTGCCTGCAGTTGGGGCCTTTCGTCCACACAGTGCCGCTCGTAAGCAGCACGCTGATATCCGAATCCCATTAACATTAAAGTCACTGGGAAATGTTGTTGTTAACCGGGAGTTGTCCGTATCCGGGAAGCTACTGGACATTCAAATAGCTGGCGTGCCTCTTTTTGCCATATGGAGGTAGATTCATCCCTAACGTAACTCCCTTGATTTAGTGGCGTCACCCCAGAGATGCGTTTGGCTCACTAGCTCTTTAAGTTTGGCCACTGTAAGCATGGCGGCGTTGAGGGGAGTTTAGCCCTTTATCCCAGCCTCTGGGTTCCCCCCTCAAATTCCCTGGAGCCGCACAGTATGGACTGGCCAGGTGCCCCCTTTCCCCTCATTGCCTGTTTTGCGAATGGCTCATTTCTGGGAAGTGCTTTCTAGACCCCACCGCCGCCCTCTCTGGGTCTGTCTGCACTGTGACTGCCGTTTGTGTCAATGGAGCCCAGCTAGCTCGGCTCCTGGCAGCAGCCTTCCGCATGGGCGAGCCTCACCAGGAGCTACCCAGGGATCCAGGTGGCCCATGCTGAAGCGCGGGCTGCCACGGCTTCCCTGCTCCAGGACCCCGGCTGGGGAGATGAAAGCTGGGCTGCACTCACACCCCGGGATCACAGTGTAGACATGCCCTGTGAGGCAGGGGCAGGGGACTAGGGGAACCAAATGCAGCACAACCTCTGTTTCAATGAAGTCCCAGTTAAACCAGGTTCGTGCCTCCGAGGCTGGCCCCGAGCCTGACTTCTCTACAGCTAATCGGCTGGCCCCCTCACCACCTGCTGCAAAGGGCCGGCTGCCTCGTAGGCCTGGGGGCTCCCCAGCGCCAGGTGGGGGAATGTCGGGCAGCTTTAGGCAAACTGTCCTAGAAACTCAGGGAAGTTGCTGGCTGGGAGCGTCTGACGGGGACTGCTAGCCCTGCCTGCTCCAGATGAGCTATCCCCGAGCAACGTCTTCACCATCGAGATACAGAGGCCCCGCCATGTGCCTGAAATAAACAGGGGGCTCTTCTGTAAGCAGGGCTTTTGGGTTTGGGGTGTGTCAGGGTTCCTTCCCCACTCTGAACTCTGGGGTACAGATTTGGGGAGCCGCATGAAAGGCCCCCTAAGCTTATTTTTACCAGCTTAGGTTAGAAACTTTCCCAAGGCACAAACTTTGCCTTGTCCTTGAACAGTACGCTGCCACCACCAAGTGATTTAGACAAAGAACAGGGAAAAGACCACTTGGAGTTCCTATTTCCCCAAAATATCCCCGCAAGCCCTTATGCCCCCTTTCCTGGGGAGGCTTGAGAATAAACAAGATGAGCACAAACCAGCCTTGGAATTTTACGACCCAAAAAACCCAGTCAGATTCTTAAAAATCAGAACTTTATTAGAAGAACAAAAAAAGAAAAGAGAACAACTCTGTACGATCAGAATGGAAGATAATCTTACAGGCAGTCAGATTCAAAACCTAGAGAATCCCTCTAGGCAAAACCTTAAGTTACAAAAAGACACAAAAACAGGAATACACATTTCCTCCAGCACAGCGAATTTACAAGTCAAAACAAAGAAAACCTAATGCATTTTCTAGCTAGATTACTTACTAACTTTACAGGAGTTGGAGGGCTTGCATCCTTGATCTGTTCCCGGCAAAGGTATCACACAGACAGTCAAAAGGCTTTTTCCCCGCCTCCAGATTTGAAAGTATCTTGTCCTCTTAGTGGTCATTTTGGGTCAGGTGCCAGCGAGGTTACCTTAGCTTCTTAACGTTTTACAGGTGAAAGGGTTTTGCCTCTGGCCAGGAGGGATTTTATAGCGCTGTATACAGAAAGGTGGTTCCCCTTCCCTTTATATTTATGACAGGGTGCGAGGCCACCCCACTGTCCCTGGAGCTCTGCTCTGGATCCAGTTCCCTGCTGCCTCCCAGGTAGGAAAGACCATCCGCCTCATGGCTGCGTATCCCCGCAGGGCCTCCAGCCGGGTGAAGGCCGTCTCCCAGAGCTCAGGCTGCTACGAGAGCGACGGCGCCGAGCTGTACCAGCCGGAGGAGAATGCCGACGGGCACCCCTACCACAGCGGGCAGAGCCGGGGCGTGGACGGCGGCTTCGAGCGGCCCGTGGTGGCCCGCAGCTCGGGGCTCCGCAGGCAGGCCATCCAGAACTGGCACCGCCGGCCCTACCGTGACAGCACCGAGGGAGAGGAGGGGGACATCTCGGACGTGGGCTCCAGGACAACCGAGTCGGAGGCTGAGGTGTGGGAGCAAGACCGCCGCATCCCACCGGAGGCGAACCTGGCAAGGCCCCTGAACAGCTGCAAGCTGACGGGTGAGTCTCCATCCCGGTGGTGAGGGGAACCCCACTGCCCGGACATAGGGGCGACCCTGACCCACACTTGGCTAGGAAACCCTGGCAGTGGCAGTTCAGTAGGGGGCGCTCTTCCCGCTGAACCCTGCACTTCCAGCCTGGGGAAGGTTGGGGAGGTACCGGCGTCTGGGGGAGATGGAAAACCGAGCTCCAAAGTAATGCACATTAAGTTACGCAATGGACTGTACCCGCTCTTGTAAGGGGCTTGGGCACCATTGTGGGCAGCTCAGTGAAAACCTCTCCTCAACGTGCCACTGCAGCCAAAAATCACAACCAAGGCAATAGCATGAAGCAGGAGTGGGGTGGAGAATATCATGGAAAATATTCGAATGCCTTTCTCCAAATCAATGGGGCAGCCTCATCTGGAGACTGGGTGCAGGGCTGGGCACCCCATCTCACACCCGATATTGCAGAATTGGGGGTAGAGGGGGTCAGAGAAGGGTGATCAAGGGCCTGGAAAAATATGGGACTGTTACCTGAGAAAGGAGACGAATAGGAGAAGACAGGATAAAAGTCTATAATATGATCCCTGCCCTAGAGAAGGGAGATTGGGCTGCACGTGGTCTCTGGCTGAGGTCACCCCATTGATTGATAGAGAGTCGAGAATTTAGCAAGTTGCAAAGAGGGATATGGCTATTGGGAATGTCCAGACCTTGCATAACGAACGATAAAAACACTGGAAGAGATATTAGACCTCCTGCTTCAGGGCTTGAACCAATCTCTGGCTATTAGAGACCAGGACAAGACCTTTCTTGGGGCAAATTATCCCATACCTGCTGTGTGGGGTTCTTACGCCTTCCTCTGAAGCAGCTGGAGCTGGTGACTGTTGGAGATAGTGATCTAGATGGACCCTGGGCTGGATCCAGGCCAGCAACGCCAATGTTCCTAACCCTTTGTAGTTGTGAAAGGTCCCATGGTGCTTTCCATAAAAACAACGCAAATCCCCATAATTACATTCTGCCTCCTTCAGTTCCCCCTGCAGCTTCAGCAAGATACAATGCTCTTCTTCACATCTTCACAGGCCAGAACGGTCCGTCCCCATCATCTAGTCTGACCTCCTGCCTAACACTGGATGTCCCTGACTGTAGTGGCATGCTGCTAAGCAGCTGCTGTGTTCCGCCCCAGAGCTGGCTGCATGCCGGGGCTGAGTGAAGTGATCTAGAGAGCGTGGGCAGGATTCTCCCAGAGGAGAGAGGCTCTCTCGGTGAATGTGAGGTGTTAGCATTGTAAATCAGAGCCCTGGCTTTTTGAACACCATTCTGCCAGAGAGTTGAACTCGGTCACCCTGGCGATGGAGCATCTAAAACACTGCAAGTCGGGGCATCAGGAATGTTTTTTCTTGCACCTCCAAAGTGTGTTGGGAACGATTGAGGGGGGTCCAGGCCATCAGAGCTATTGCTGAGCCACAAGGCCAGATTCAGAGCTCATGTAAACAGTTGTCACTCCCATCCCATTTAGGCCACTGGAGTTGCAATTGATTCCACCAGGTCTGGATTTGGCCCTTTATTCTGCTCCCTTGTGCCTATGAAATGGCCTGGGGTCTCCCGTCAGTGGGAGATGTGCTTGGTGCAGTACCCACACTAGCCAGGCCTGCTCTGCCAGGGAGGACGAGGACGGGCCAGGGGCATCGTTAAAAGGAGAGGGAGCATTTCACGGCCGCACCCCAGATCTGAACCCCAGCCCAGTTTGCTCGCGGCTTGAGTGAGATGAGTTGCGAGGGGAGGGGTCTGCTCTGCAAGAACCGCCTGCACATTTGCCCCCCACTGGCACGCTGGTTGGCTGCCGCAGCAACCCAGGGTGGGCCTGGCTGAGGTTGAGGCCCATTGGTGGGGCAGTGCAGGGACCAGCTGGCATACCCTGCTGCTTTCATGGGGGGACGGAGGTGGCCTCCTGGTTCCATTCCTTGGGCAGGAGAGGGCCAACAGGGATTCAGGACTCCTGGGTTCCTTTCCTGGGGGAGTGGGGACCTGACTGGGATTCAGGACTCCTGGTTCCATTTGTGGGGAGGTTGGAGGTTGCTGAGGTTCAGGACTCCTGGGTTCTATTCCTGGGAAGGGGGTGGGGCTGGGACTCAGGACTCCTTGATTCCATTCATGGTGGGGAGGGGACAGACTGGGATTCAGGACTCCTGGGTTCCGTTGTTCTCTTTGACCTTCGGCAAGTCACTGCACCGCTCTGTGCCTCAGTTTCCCCCTTGTTCAAATGGGAATAACAATACAGACCAAACTCCCGGGGCATCTGTTGTTGTTTATAAAATGTTCCAGGATCCCCGGAGGGAAGGTGCTAGAGGAGGGTGAAGGGTTATTATTTTGAATGCACGCTGAGGCACCAGGAGCTGCTAAAAGCGTGGGAAAACTTTACCCACAAATTCCACTCCCACCCCCAGCATTGTCCCCCTCTCCCCGCACAATGCCCCCGCTGATGGTGTGTGTCACACAGCCAGGTCCGAGGGGGGCGGCGGGAAGGCTGTCCGGCCCGAGAGAGGCAGCCCGTCCCGCTCCAACGAGGTGATCAGCCCGGAGATCCTCAAGATGCGAGCTGCTCTCTTCTGCATCTTCACCTACCTCGACACCAAGACCCTGCTGAAGGCTGCTGAGGTCTGCAAGGACTGGAAGTTCGTGGCGCGCCACCCTGCCGTGTGGACCCGGGTGCTGCTGGAGAACGCCAGGGTGTCGTCGAAGGTAAAGGGCCAGCCAGCTGTGGGGCTCCAGCCAGGCCCCACAGGGAACGCCCCGGGGCAGAGCCGGGCCTATGAAAACCTCAGAGAGGGCAGCAACGTGGGGTCCATTTCTTAGAAGCTGACGTAGCCCCGCCCTTTGTTTCCGAGCCCAGGTTTTCTGTTGAAATCGGGATGGACATTTTTTGATAAATGAAAACCAGGTTTTTTCAGTAGCTGAAACGTTTTCTTTTACCAAAAAAAGCCTTGGGTTGGCGTGTAGATGTACGTGTGTGTGTGTGTTGTCCTCTGGGCCTGTCTCCGAGGTCTGTGATGGCAGCTGCGTGTATGTGCGCCTCTCCCTCTATGGGTACGTCCACGCTGCAAAGAAAAACCCACGGCACCGAGTCTCAGAGCCTGGGTCAACTGACCTCGGGCTGCGGGGTTCAAAACAGCAGTGTAGACGTTCCGGCTCAGGCTGAATCTCCCCCCTCGCCGGGTGTCAGAGCCCGGGCTCCAGCCCGACCGGGAATGTCTACGCTGATATTTTTAGCCTTGCAACCGGCACGCTGGGCTGCCCCACGGGTGACCTGGTGTTTGCTTGCAGCGTAGACATACCCTGGGCATGAGGGCACATGTGTGGTGCTCTGGTCCCACCATCCCCACCCTGGGGCAGGGGGAGAGGCCACCGCTGTCTCTCCTGGTTGCAGGCTCTCCTGTCCCGGCGCGTGTCTCCTTCTAACTGAGGTGGGGGGGTCTGGCTTCCCCCTGCAGTTCCTGGGCATGCTGTCACAATGGTGCACCCAGACGCACTCCCTCACGCTGCAGAACCTCAAGCCGCGGCTGAGAGGGAAAAAGGAGAGCAAGGAGGAGTACATGAAAAGCACCCGGTGAGCCCCCGCGAGACACTTCCCTTTCCACCTCCAAAGCCGATCCATCCGTTTCCATAAGGATCTCGTCTGCCAGCCCAGGGGCGGCACCGCTGACCTTTTAATAACCATGTCTCTGCTATCTCTGTAGCTCTGGCTTTTCCATTTAACGCTCCACTGGGAGGACGTTAATAGCTTCCTGGCTACAAGGGCCCCTGCCCTGAAGAGTGCCCGGTTATCAGTGCTTTGGTTCCTGTCCCTTGGGATTGCTTAGTGCTGGTGGATCTCAGCCTCTTCCATACCAGAGCCCCCATTCCCATCCCAGTACCACCATGGGACCCCCGACTGGTACAGAACAGGCAGGGTGGCCCCGACCCGCGGTTGAGAACCCCTCCCTTAGTGCTTTGGCTATCACTATCAGAAACACAGTCCCTACTCATCAAAAATACTAGGGTCCCCCCCGTTAATATTCCATCACCGGGCAGGACTGAAACTCCCGCTGGCAGGAGCTCGGGATGTTTGCTGTAATATTTGTCTGGACAAAGCAGGGCTTGAAGGGCACAGAGCTGGCCGGGGACGGGCTGGGATGGTGGAGGCAGGACTGAGGGACAGGTTTGATGAAGGTGCATTAAAGGCCAGTCTTAGATCCGTGTAGCGGAGGTCAATGAGACCTTGGCAGTGTTTGTCTCCAGCTGGGGTGAGGGTGTTAGTGTCCTGCTTCCAGGACGTCTTGGGACGGGAGAAGAGGAGCAGGAAAGGCGAGGATGGAGGAGAAACAGCCTGCAATGAGGCAGGGGAAGGAAGAAGGAGCAAATCGGTCACCCAAACTAATCCAGGGAGCTTGAGACCCTTCCTATGGGGTCTGGATCTGCCCTTGGTATTCCGCGAGTCTGGGTCAGGCAGACAGGGCAAGGGAGGGGGAGAGGGAGCACCCACGTACTGTTGCCTGGCCTGGGCCCCCTCCACCCGAACCAAACGTGACGAGCAAGGCTGAGGATGAGGAGGTGGCCTTCGTCACAGCATGGCTGCACTCACAGGTGGGAGCGAGCTATGTCGTCTAGGCCCGGCTCCTCAAAGGTACTTCGGCAGCTAATTTCCATTGAAATCCCTGGGAGTTCAGCACCAGAATACCTTTGAGGATCTGGACCCTCGTCCATGCCCCCGGCCAGGGCAGGGCTGCTCCCTGTGGCTTTTGCTCAGTCCCGGGTGAAACATCCCAAGGAAAGGGGCTACACCTTTCCTCCCAGCGGCTGCTCTCTGGCCTGGCCTTGGGCTTCCAGGTCTACGTTTCCCACACTGGGCCTTGTCCCAGGACTCCGGGTCTAGCCCAGCTTTGAGAGCAGGGGTAGCAGTGAGTGCCGCTGAGCTCTCTCTCCCCCTTCCCCGCTGGTTCCATCTCCTCAGGGGCTGCCTCGAAGCCGGGCTGGAGTCCTTGCTGAAGGCCACGGGCGGTAACTTGCTCATCCTGCGGATTTCCCACTGCCCCAACATCCTGACGGACCGCTCCCTCTGGCTGGCCAGCTGCTACTGCCGGGCGCTTCAAGCTGTCACCTATCGGTACGTGCACGAGTCCTGGGCCCACTGGACCTCGCCGTGGGGCACACGCTGGAGGGAGGCAGGCGGGCTGCCTGCCGCTCAGAGCGTGTGCATGGGAAGGGCCGTTGCTTGGGACTTGGGGGCTTAGTCCTCAGGCTCCTGCTTGGTGTCTGTCCTGCTGCTCTTATGCAGACGGGGGTGGAGGTAGCCAGGAGCTGGGAACAGCTGAGCCAGCCCACACCACGTGGAATCCGACTGGGACCCCTGAGGCCTCCAGAATCCCCAGAACAAGGGCCGGTCTGTGGGACCTTCTCCTGGGTGACTGGGTCGGACTGGGCCCCGGCCCTGATACACAGACCCAGCCCGAAACATCTGGGGATGCAAACTACCCTGCCCTGTGCTGGTCAATGGCAGGAGGCTCTAGTGCCCTGGATTAGCCGGCACTCGCCCCTATGCAGCCCCACCTCTCCAAGCCAGGCCATCTGTTAGTTGCCCTCCGAACCTTGTTCCTCTCTCAAGTGCCAGATGCTTCCTGGTGCAGCAGACAACGAGCCTCTGAAAAGACTCTCCTGGGGGGTTGTGAGCTGAGGGTTTGGTAGTATCGGAGATGTCTGGGCCCGGTCAGTCTGAGAGACAGGGATGGCATTCTAGGTCCTTCCTGCTGTGGGCATGCTGTCTAGTGCCCGACCGACAGACCGAGGCTTCCTGGCCTCTTTATCCACAGTGTGCAGAGCCCCACCCATGCGTGCATTGTCCCTGACCCAGGGAGAGCCCTGGGAGGGTGGACACAGGGTCACCCAGGCCTGTTTGGTGTGTCGCTCTGTTCCCCCTCTAGGGGCACCTAGACCATTGAGAGATTAATGAGTCTGCTACAGCCTTAGCTAAGAGCCGTGTGGCTTTGAGCTCATGGAGTAGAGGCTCATACACTAAGCTTCAGAGGTCCCAGGTTTGATCCCGCCGACGACGACCGGGGTCTGTTGTCATTACGCTAGCCAGTCCCCCGGCCTCGGAGCTGACAGAGGACCTTGCAGGGCCTGCTGCGGCTGGGAGCGCCGGTGGTGTGGATGGGGATCAGTTGTTCTCCATGTCCACTGAAGGCAGGACAAGATGCAATGGGCTAAATCTGCAGCAAGGGAGATTTAGGTTGGCTATGAGGGGAAAACTTCCTGACTCTAAGGGGAGTTCAGCTCTGGAACAGGCTTCCGAGGGAGGTTGTGGACTCCCCATCACTGGAGGCTTTTTAAGAACAAACCCCTGTCAGCGATATGGCCTAGGCTTACCTTGTCCTGCCGCAGCGCAAGGGGCTGGACTAGGTGACTTCTCAAGGTCCCTTCCAGCCCAACTTCTCTGTGGTCCTATAGCACGTGTTCACATAGACCCGCGCTTCCTGGGTGCAGTGTGTTCACTGGCAGTGTGCAGAGAGCGGACGGGGACAGAGGCACTCCAAATCCTACCAACGGGCATGGTGAGGTTAGCGCCCACAGCTGCCTGGGGGGTCTGTGTAGCACCAGTATTTCTTACAGGGCCAGCCCCAGGGGAGCTAGAGGATGACGATGTAGGTTGTTGGCTTCCCTAGTGCCATACGGTTGCTTAGAATCATAGAATCATAGAATATCAGGGTTGGAAGGGACCTCAGGAGGTCATCTAGTCCAACCCCCTGCTCAAAGCAGGACCAATCCCCAATTAAATCATCCCAGCCAGGGCTTTGTCAAGCCTGACCTTAAAAACTTCTAAGGAAGGAGATTCCACCACCTCCCTAGGCAACGCATTCCAGTGTTTCACCACCCTCCTAGTGAAAAAGTTTTTCCTAATATCCAACCTAAACCTCCCCCACTGCAACTTCAGACCATTACTCCTTGTTCTGTCCTCTTCCACCACTGAGAATAGTCTAGAACCTTCCTCTCTGGAACCACCTCTCAGGTAGTTGAAAGCAGCTATCAAATCCCCTCCTCATTCTTCTCTTCTGCAGACTAAACAATCCCAGTTCCCTCAGCCTCTCCTCATAAGTCATGTGTTCCAGACCCCTAATCATTTTTGTTGCCCTTCGCTGGACTCTCTCCAATTTATCCACATCCTTCTTGTAGTGTGGGGCCCAAAACTGGACACAGTACTCCAGATGAGGCCTCACCAATGTCAAATAGAGGGGGACGATCACGTCCCTCGATCTGTTCGCTATGCCCCTACTTATACATCCCAAAATGCCATTGGCCTTCTTGGCAACAAGGGCACACTGCTGACTCATATCCAGCTTCTCGTCCACTGTCACCCCTAGGTCCTTTTCCGCAGAACTGCCGCCTAGCCATTCGGTCCCTAGTCTGTAGCGGTGCATTGGATTCTTCCGTCCTAAGTGCAGGACTCTGCACTTATCCTTATTGAACCTCATCAGATTTCTTTTGGCCCAATCCTCCAATTTGTCTAGGTCCCTCTGTATCCTATCCCTGCCCTCCAGCGTATCTACCACTCCTCCCAGTTTAGTATCATCCGCAAATTTGCTGAGAGTGCAATCCACACCATCCTCCAGATCATTTATGAAGATATTGAACAAAACCGGCCCCAGGACCGACCCCTGGGGCACTCCACTTGACACCGGCTGCCAACTAGACTTGGATCCATTGATCACTACCCGTTGAGCCCGACAATCTAGCCAACTTTCTACCCACCTTATAGTGCATTCATCCAGCCCATACTTCTTTAACTTGCTGACAAGAATACTGTGGGAGACCGTGTCAAAAGCTTTGCTAAAGTCAAGATACAATACATCCACTGCTTTCCCTTCATCCACAGAACCAGTAATCTCATCATAGAAGGCGATTAGATTAGTCAAGCATGACCTTCCCTTGGTGAATCCATGCTGACTGTTCCTGATCACTTTCCTCTCATGTAAGTGCTTCAGGATTGATTCTTTGAGGACCTGCTCCATGATTTTTCCAGGGACTGAAGTGAGGCTCACTGGCCTGTAGTTCCCAGGATCCTCCTTCTTCCCTTTTTTAAAGATTGGCACTACATTAGCCTTTTTCCAGTCATCCGGGACTTCCCCCATTCGCCATGAGTTTTCAAAGATAATGGCCAATGGCTCTGCAATCACAGCCGCCAGTTCCTTTAGCACTCTTGGATGCAACTCGTCCGGCCCCATGGACTTGTGCACGTCCAGCTTTTCTAAATAGTCCCTAACCACCTCTTTCTCCACAGAGGGCTGGCCATCTATTCCCCATGTTGTGATGCCCAGCGCAGCAGTCTGGGAGCTGACCTTGTTCGTGAAGACGCTTAGCGCTTAGCAGACAAATTGACAAAACAGCTGCAGGCTCCTGTCCTCTCGACGGGCACAAACCTCGCCAGGGAGGATCAGCCTGCAAAGGGCAGGGCAAGGCTCTAGCCGCAGGAGATGTCACTACCTGCCCGGCGGGCCAGTCTCAGGAAGGGGCGTTCTTACAGATGGGGAGGAGTCTGCTCTGATACGAGGGCATGGAGCCCACCCAGTGCCCTGCCCCGGCCACGGGATCTAGAGGAGGAGGTTGCATGGGGATGGGGCAGGGGAGGAAGGGTGGAGCGGCTTGTGGGGGGAGGAGGCCAAGGCGAGGCACAAGCTGCACTGAGCTGGCGGGACATGGGGCAGCACACACAGGATGGATGAGCCGTCACCGCTGCCCCAGTCAGGATCCCAGGGAGAAGCCCCCAGTGCTCTCACCAACCAGCCCCTCTGCTGCTCTCCCCTCCTGGCACGGCCGCACAAGGCCCAGCACAGCCCGTATTAATGCTGGTTCCTGGCTCTACCCGCCGAGGGCAAGGCTGGAGAAGTGACAAACTATGAGCAGGAGCTTTCTGGGCAAGCTGGCAGAGGCCTTCCTCTTTGGCAGAGTCACCAGGGGAGCAGTCGGGAGCGAGGCTCTATTTACCTGCCGGGGCACTGCGGGATTGTCCCTGCGTTGGGGCCACCATGATAAACGACACTGAAGCAGGTTGGAGTCAGCCCAGGAGATTGCCTTTGAGAGGAGCTATTCACTGCTCTTCACAAGCAGGCTGCATTCTTTGCTTCCCACCCTGGCTGGGGGATGGGGCGTGTGGGGAGGATCAATTGGGGGTGAGTTAAGGATGCTTCTAAATTGACCCTACATGGCCCTGATGATCAGAAATCTGCGGCTCTTACTGAAATCAGAGACCATCCCTGGAAAACCAGGGCCTTTGGTGTTACCTTTTTCTTCCCCAGCATTAAAAGGAATTGGGCTCGGGGTCCAGTGGCCAGGGCTTGGGGTTGGCTTGTTCCGAAGAAACAAGGAATTAGTTTAAACACCTATTGAACCCACAGGAAAATAAGGGGAGAATTTTAAGACAGTCAAAGCATTCAACAGTTAATCTCCATTGTAATAAACTTGCTTCTTTCTATGTGTGGTACTTACATGGCCCCATTAATACAGTACCACAGCACGCCACAACCGTTAATGGATTTCTCTTCACAACACCCCTGCGATGTCGGGTATTGACGTTCCACACAGAGAGTAAGTGATTTGCCCAAGGTTCACGCAGGAAGTCCGGGACAGAGGCAGGAGTTCTGAGCGCCAGGCTGACCTGCAGGCCTGTCCTTCCTTCCTCTCCCGATACTTGGGCAGAATCTTTTAAAGAGAAAAATCCTCCTAATTTGACAATCGCTCGAAGGGCATCAGCTCCCCTGTTTGGGGGGCAAAGGAAGTTGGTTCTGAGCTGCAGCTCTCAGGCTCTGTTGCTGGCATCTGATGCTGTCTCCTCTTAAGTCAAATGTATGTGAAAACGGAAGAGAGGAAAAGGCAGCTTCTTTCTCTGGGTTGCAGTTCCGTTGCTGGCAGGCTAAGATCAGCACAGAGCACACGGTCCTGGACTCTGGCTTTGGCATATGCCTGGCAGGTTCCTTTCCTTTGGTCTGCCCAGTCTGTAGGGTGCTTTCTTCACCAGGACCCGGCTGCTTAGGGGTAGCTTTTTGTCTGCCACGCTGGTCGCAGCAAATTATTGTGAGGTTAGATCTTCCCCGGCTGGCTTAGCTGGGCTCTGATGAGACAGAAGGCAAAGAGAGGACAAAAAGTAAGAGTAAGATGAGAAAGGAAATTGACACCGCGTGAAGCAGGAACCTTGGGTTCCCAGCTCAGGATGTAGCCATGGAGATGGTGATGTCATCTTGTTTCTTCCTCGTCTGGTCTAGGTGACGGCATCTCTCTGGATCAGGAAAGAGAAGACCCGCCTGTGGTGGAGATGGCCATGTGTGTTGTGTGGGGTAATCCCCCCTTACCATTCGCTATCTCACTGCCACCTGCAACCAGAGCCAAGAACACCTGGGTTTTCAGCCTCACCACCAAACCACGCTGCCCCTCGGTCACAACATACAAACTCCTGGGGCTCGGAATGAAAGGCTGTGTAACCCATTACCAATCCCTGAGCTATCTAGTCTCCCCATTGCCCTCTAGTACCATTATAATCTCTGTGTATTAGGGTAGCACCTAGAGGGCCCCACTGAAATGGGGGCCCCATTGTGCTCGGCACTGCACATACACGTAGCAAGCGGCGGCTCTCGCTCCAAAAAGCTTACAAGTATTTCCAGCATTAACATGCAGCTGTCGAGGGAGACATGTTACATCCAACCCGCTGGGATGGCAGCGCTGGCTGCATTTCCTCTGGATCCTCTTCCGGCACCGCTCCCATTGTGCAAAACGCGTTAGACCCTGATTCAGAGCCTGGGCCCACAAATGAATGAGAGTGGGATGCGAGATGACGGTCTGTCGCTTAATTTATCTGCTGCTGCATCCTTCCTCACTTTTAATGGCTCCAGCAGCCCCGAATATTCATGTGCACTTGAGGCGCTTGGCAGCGTGTTCACCTGTCACCATGACTCATATGTTTTAATTAAGGACGAGCCGAACTCGTAAGGGAATCTTAGCAGGCGGCTTTGTGGGAGACATACGAGCGCTCAAGATAACACAATTGGCTTATTTTTAGGTTCGCTTGAAGTTTAGAACTGGGTCATTCAAAATTAGAAGGATGGACTCGATCCTCAGGGGTTTCCATTGCTCTGTGGGACTGGGTGGCACAGGGGGTTGGTAACACGATGGGAGGCTGCTGGTTTGAATTTGGTCTGGGTTAATGGTCCGGCTTCACTCTGGACAGTCCTTTTTCAGAGACGTTTATCCCCTGTCGGACGTAGTTTTGACCAGTATTGGACCGGAGGGCACCATTTTGAATAGCACACTGCTTCATCTGCTCCGGTATGACCTCACACACATGCTGCATAGGAGGTCACACTGGCGGGGGTCAGGTCATGCAGGCAGGGGCAGGTCCCCACTGTTCCCGCAAGTGCCAGAACGTCCAGTATTCCAGGAACGTGAGAGTGGTCACCCTAGAGTACGCTCTAGAGAGACCCAACCCATTAGGGCTAATTAACACCCTTGCTGGTAGGCTCAGAGAGCCAAGGATTGCATGGGGATTTGGGGACTCTGTATAATTTATTAATTCTGTGTGAGATTATGAACTCTCTATGCATCTTTACCAAACTGCCAACTTCGTTTGGAATGTGGGAGCTAATTATCTTCTCTGTTGCCTTTTTACCTCCATATTGGGCTGAAATGCCAGTGGGCAGTGGTACAGGGCTGACAATGGAGAGTTGTCGGTACTCTGAGCACACAGCAGTTATGCTAAAGAGGATGCCTGAGTTGAGAGACCATTTCAGGCAAGTTGATCGGCAGGCGGGGGGGTTGGGCAGTGGAATCTCCCTACGCAGGACAAAGTGAAGGTGGCAAAAGCAGGCAATTGTAAAAGGAGTCGCAGGGGGAAGACTGTCTCAGAGAGAGACGCAGGCAGTTGGAAAGGAACTGATCTATTCAGGGTCTTCGTCTCTGGCCATTTTCACCAGCTCAAGCTGAGGGGAGTTTCTGAGCAGCCTGATGAGTCAGGGGAACTCTGCCTACCTGAATAGAGACAGTCCCCCATGGGCTCCCAAGGGACGGGTGAGCTAGAGAGGGGGCGCTGCAGGCAGGACGTGTGTTGTGTTCTCCGTGACCTGGATTCGCTCCATATTTCTCAAGCTTAAGTAAAGAGCAAGAGTGTTTTGGGGATCTTGTGCCTGCACATTGCATGGCACACACCCCTGGACTTTTGGCTGAGGGGGTGTTTAAGCTTGGGTGGGGGCGGGTCTGAGAAGTTAACACTGGTTCTAGGGGCTGGGCAAGGGGACAGAGAGGTCTAAACTCCCAGGAGCAGATGGTGGAGAGAGGATCTGGACACAGAGTGTACACCTAGGGACCCCAAGCCCGGGCCATTGACTGGACTCTGTTCAGATCCTGGAGGCTTAAAACACACATAATCCAGCGGCTGCAGTCTGGTGAGTGAGCAGCCACGAAGGGGCGCTTGGCTAGACCTGTGACAGTTAGTACGACTTGGAAGTACGACTCGGAGGGAGAGACAAACGGGAGTGAGATGCCCAACTCCTACTGGCTCCTGGCTCAATGCCTCGACGTGGGCTCTCAGTCTCTGAAATACTCAAGCCAGGGCTAAATTCCTTTTCTTTCCTTCTGGTGGTATCACACGTGCACAGGCTAAATGTAAGGTGGAACTTACTTTGGTCACCCTGATGGTCCCCCCTCCCCTCCCCATCTTCTCCCATTAAAAGATAAGAACTTGGTTCCTGCAAATGGCCTGAAGAATAAGAGGTGATGGTTGTTGTTTTTTTCCAGAAAGAATATGGAGCATTAATAATAACCCTCTGCTGTTCTCCAGGCCTGGATTTCTAGACACAAACCCCTCCCTGATGCAAGGGCTACGGAGATTAGCCGACACTACGTTAGGCAATTCCACCCTTTGGCGCTGTAGGATTTCAAAGAACCTCTTGGGCTGCGTCCCTGCTGGGGAGGGTTAAAGCAGGCTCTCTGTCTTGTTCCAGGAGTTGCACAGACCCTGTGGGGCATGAAGTCATCTGGGCACTGGGAGCAGGCTGCAGGGACATCATCTCACTGCAGGTGGCACCACTGCACCCTTGGTAAGAGGAGCCCCCGAATCACCCGCTCGGCGGTTCTCAAACGTTAGCAACCTGAGGACCCCCCATTTTGATTTAAAATTTTCCGTGGACCCCCAAGCCGGCTTCTAATTTTCCCCAGGAGCGCTCAACGCCCGCTCAACCCCAGGCCTCGCCCCCACTCCACCCCTTCCCCCAAGGCCCCACCCCCCACCTCTTCCCGTCCCCACTCTACCCCTGGACTTGGAAGAAGTTGGGTTCCAGATCCAAATGTCGTCGCTGGGCCCTCTGGGCTGAACCAAAATCCCGGACCCGAACTCGGAGGATGTTGGGATGGGGAGCTCAGCCCCGTCTCTAGATATAAAGGCTAAAGCATCTTAGGAATCTGCAGCTGCATCTAACAGTGATGGAAATGTTGCAAAGGACCCTGATGCATCCGCGATGAAGGGCACGGCCAATCCTGAACATCAGACCGCTGCCAGAGCTCTTCGCCGCTTATGTAATAGCAGCCCCGATGGGCTCGTGTGTTTAGAGAAGGGTGTTGAGTCTCACTGTTTAATAGATGACTGTAATTTCTCTCACTTTTAAAGTCTGTGATCTTCTGGCATTAAGATTCTGGAGGTCTCCCCACTCTGCAGAGTACAGAAAAAAATCTTGAAGTGCTAATAGGTGCATGACTTAAATAACAGCACAGTTCAGGGGAGGTAGAAATTAGGTCAGGTTATTCACCTCCTCTCTTCCGTGCAGCTGAGAATCTTCCCTTTCTTTTGCCATAGTAGATGTTAGGCAATACCATTACGTACTCTAACTCTACCTGACTTATGGCACACCCAGTGGCAGATTAATGATTTTGCCACCCCTAGGCCCAGAAATAATTGTCCCCCCACCCCCCCAGCTCACCTCTGCTCCGACTCTGCCTCCTCCCCTGAGCGCGCCGCCGGGTCCTGCTTCTTCCTGCTCCCTGCTCCCTTGTGCACGAAACAGCTTCGCGAAGGACGCGGGAAAGGGGGGAAACACAGCACGCTCAGGAGAGGAGGCGGGGCTGGGGCGGGGATTTGGGGGAACGGGACCAATAGGGGCAGGGAGGGGGCGGGGAAGGGGTGGAGTTGGGGCGGGGCTGGGGGCGGAGGGGACGAACCGGCACCAGGGGAAGCAGGCTCTGGCTGCTATTATAAATTTGCTGCCCCTGCAAATTTGCTGCCCTAGGCCTAGGCCTTGTCAGCCTAGGCGTTAATACGCCGCTGGGCACACCCAGATCAAGACATGTGGAAATGACTTCTTTCAGTGGCTGGGCAGGTGGACAAGACCTTTAGAAATGGGTCACTGAAGTACCCAGGACCTCTGCTGGAAGGAACACCAGACCCTGTGAGCGTGTATTGCCTTCTAGTGTGACAAACACACACAGGGTATAAGACCTATTGCTACAGACTGTGACCAGTATTACTTCCTTAGCTTTAAAGGTAGCAGCCTGAATTTTGAAGCAGAAGGTCATGAGTTCTCTTCCCAGTGCCGGAGGACTGTGTTTCAGTGACATTACAGTAACTGGGATAATTTATCAATTCCTTATTTCCTCCCCTTTCCTCTGCAGCCAGCAGCCGACACGTTTCAGCAACCGCTGCCTTCAGATGATCGGCCGATGCTGGCCGCATTTAAGAGCGCTGGGTGTTGGTGGCGCGGGCTGTGGAATTCAGGGACTGGCTTCTTTAGGTAAATGCAAATCGACTCACTCATGCTGCGAAGTGGAGGTAGAACGGGATATGGGCGCAGGACGTGTTCCGCTGGGTGCGGCCCTGTGCTGGGAACGCTGATATGTATGTCGGGAGATGTGTCCATATTGGGGGAGTTCTCTGATATTCCCCTGGGCACCACAAAATTTCCACTCGCGGCATTTAGCTTGGGGGCGGGGCGAGTCTCAGACATGTGGACCGAGTCTTAAGAGAGAGTGTTACATAGGTCCCGCCTCCTCTCCACACAAGTCCCGCCTCTCGTCCCCATGTGCCAACACACAGGCCCCGCCTCCCTTCCCATCAGATCCTTCGTGTTCCCAACCACAAAATGTGCAGGCAGCTTCAGGCCAGACCCCGCCCCAGGCTGCTTCTCCCCGCTGAGTGCTGCGACTCCCGGGAACGCTGACCCAGCTGACCCTGTGTTCTTCATCTCGCCAGCCCGGAATTGCATGCGGCTGCAGGTGCTGGAACTTGACCACGTCACGGAAATTAACCAGGAGGTGGCGGCGGAGGTGTGTCGGGAGGGCCTGAAGGGCCTGGAGATGCTAGTGCTGACCTCCACGCCTGTCACCCCCAAAGCCCTGCTGCACTTCAACAGTGAGTAGCGACTGCCGGCACCGCGGAGCCTTGTTTTAACTCCCAGCCACAGCCCCCCTTGCAGGACTGTCATCGGAGCAGCTAACGGGCAAAACAACACAACACATCCTGTTTAAATAGTCACTGTGGACAGTCGCAGCCCCTTGCTGGTGTCCTAGGCTGCGGGCCAGATTCTGCTTCCGTTTACACCAGTAGAAATCTGAAGTCATTCTACTGATGTCCATGGAGTGACACCAGATTTACCCTGGTGTAACGGAGGTCACAATCTGGTCCTCTGCACATGCATGAGGACTGGAGATCTTCATTGCTACAGATCCGCAGCAGTGTTAAGCAGGTGGGGTGTATCACTTCCAGCCTTGGCCAGCTCAGCAGGGTGGGGAGTATGGTTGAGGCGGTTTCGCCAGGCGTCCTGGGATGAAATTGTAGGTGAAATATCCAGAAACGCTTCCCAACGATGAAAGGCATAAAAGTCTGCTGGGGACATGGTGGGTGCACCATTTTTGGAGTCATTACAAACTGGAGTGGACAACAGGAGAAAACCTTCTAAGGGGCAGGATCAGGCCTGGGATAAATACCTAGGGGAACAGGACAGGTCAATAGAGGGCCTTTTCTGTCTCAAGTGTGGGGTTTTCAAACGCTCCTGAGGCAGGTAACACCGTGACCACCCCCTCATGGCCCGCAGTTGCTCAGCAGGTGCCCTGCCTCAGTTTACCCTCTCCAGAGCTTCTTACATAAACTCCACCCGTGCAGAATCTTTAAAACATTCCCCTCCTGGGTCTAATATCTTTATATATAATTCACAACAATACTCAGTGCTGGGGCTTCTCCCAGAAAGGGAGCCTCGTCTCCCCTCAACCCGTCCCCAGCCTTCCCACCTGGAGTGTTTTGCTCTGGGATTCTCTCGGGAGAGGATCCCAACCTTCCTGGTTCAACTTCCCTGCTTTTGCCAAGCCACTCCCAGCCCTCCCTGGACTTGAAAAGTCCCCAACTCTCCTGCGGCATCACCCTGCCACAGCTTCTTCCCATTCCTCTCTGGCTCTTTATAGAGCCAGCAGCCCCCTATCGGGCCCCATCCAGAGGCTATTAATGAGGCACAGATGGGCTGGGCCATTCCTTCTTAAAAGACTCGGTCCCCCTTGTGACAGAGCACGAGTACCACTGACTGTGAATAGGGCCGGTGCTCCAGAAGTCCCTGTGGCCATACTGACCATCACAGCCTGCTCCCTGGGATCCGTGTGGCACCCGGGCACTGCTCCCCACACGTCACACACCCTGGCTGTCTCTCTGTTGCCCCAGGTGTCTGCAGGAACCTTAAGTCCATTGTGGTGCAGGTGGGCATTGTGGACTACTTCAAGGAGCCGAACAGCCCCGAAGCCCGGAAGATGTTTGAGGAGATGGTGAACAAACTCCAGGTAAAGGGAGCCAGGCTGGTCCCTGGGTGGCTCTGAGCACAGATTTCTGTGCTCCGCCAAGTCAATAGACTGAGGACATTGACCAAGGCCTGAGGGCTGCTCCAATTCCCAAGGCCCCCGCCCAGCAGTGGAAAGCACAGAATGGCCCCAACTCGCTGGCCACAGCACACCAGGGCCTGGGCACACGGCCAGCAGAGAGCCCTTCTGACAGCTGTATGCCAGTTGGGCAGACTCCTGCACAGGGCGATACTCAGGAGGCATTTTCACCCCCTTTGCTCTGCCTTAGGAGCATAAGGGGAAGCGCTGTTTACTTCCAGAGTGATTTTAGCAGCAGTGATCTAAGGCCTTATTAGCAACACGGTTAAGAAATGTGTAATAGACGGGCCCCATTCTTTCCTCTGCATTTGTTTGTGCAAGGGAGCTGTGCTTGTGTATCTGAGCGTGCAGAACATAGAAGCGAGTCCCTGTGGGCCAGTTCTTTGGGGTGCACATGGCTTATTGCATGTATGGGGCAGGTAATGTTCTGCTGGGCTGGGCTTCGTCCCGGGCTTTGTGCTTGCCCCGAGATGAGATCCAACGCAAGGGCTGGTGAGGAGGGCAAACCAGGATTTCCTTCCACCTTTCAGCCCCCGGCTCTGGCTGATCTTTGGGAAGATGATTTGATTGCAGTGCAGGGCTTGAGGGTAACTCCTGTGCAAGCCACCAGTGCTTGGTAGGATCTTCCCCTGGTAGGATTTATTTGGATGTGCAGGTGTTTTGCCTTTCAGCTCTGGTACCGCAGGGGTCTAGTTCAGCTGTGTAAATCAAGGGGAATTATTCATACCCTGCCGTGAAAGAGGTGGGCTCCCGCACTGTGTTCTCGGGGGAGTTTTCTTTTTCCATTTTCTCTCTAGGTTCTTTTTTTCATTCTCTGTTTCTCCTTGGGGAATCTGAATATTTACATCCTAGTGCTAATGAGCTGCAGAGGCAAATACCAAAGAGTAACAATTCCAAACGGTCACACTGAACATTCCTCCGGGGAAGTCAACGGAGATCCTACAACTTGGGTCCAGTCCTTATCAGTGCCACCCAGGGCCTGGAGCCCAGTGCAATGGAAGAGGTTGGGGGAAGGATGAGGTTCCTTCATGCTGCAGAGGGAAAACTGGGTCTAAGTTAATTCTCTTTCCCTTGAAAATATATTTCTTACATAGTAAAGTCCATGGGGCCAAATTCTGAGCTGGTGTCAGCTGCATTGGTGTGAGTGGAGTTACCCCTGCTCTGAATTTCCCCTTCCTTTGTAGTGCTTTGAGAGCTACAGGTGAACAGCACCATACAATTAATTGGCTCTGCGTTAGTATTAGCCAAATGCATGCATACGCTCTGCTGTCCATGCATTTAACCCTCCCCGCCCTTCTCTTCCAGGCCCTGAGGAAAAGACCCGGCTTCTCAAAGATTTTACACATTAAGGTGGAAGGAGGCTGTTAGCCCTGCAGGGAACGACGACGTGTGTCCTTCTCTGTCCACCTGAGCAACAGAGACAGTGAAACCAAACCCACCGTCCGCCCTTTGTTTGAAACCCGGAGCCACAGAAGAGCCAGCCAACGCACACAACTCGTGCAGGCCTTGGTGACTGGAAGTGACCCGTTCCCTCGGTGGGGCAGGGTATGTAACATATCGCGGACGTGACGGTGCTACAAAGGTAGCTTCTCGACCTGCCAGAGAGGGCTCGGCTGCTCTCTTTCTGCCTGAGGAACTAGGCCGGACACCCTGTTGCCAAGGAGCTTTGTGTTGGGGACATTTCTTTCTTTGAGCCTCGCTTTCGTTTAGCGGGAGCTGGGGATCTCAGTGACGTGGCACGTGACCCAGCCAAGCACAGCTTCCCCCTCCTTGCCACCTGAGTGGATGAGTCTAAGACTGAGGTAGAGCCAGGCCCCGCGCCGGCCCTACGTTGAGGGTCGCGCCGTCGGGACCGGTAAACAGCGCTGGGGAAGTCGGAGCTCCCTGCACAGCCTTTCTTGATGTGTGGCTCGACTGAATCCCAACTCCCATCCGAGCTCCATTTTAGGGGGGCGGGGCAGTGCCGCCGGGCGACCCACGGCCCAGCATTACTGTACATTTTACACTCTTTTCTTTCAATTTACCCAACGTGGGTAAGTGCCTCCCTCAAGCCAGCGGCCACAACAGCACAGCCACCGCAGCCACAAAGTACAAAGCTCCTCTTGCTCGTGACCCTTGGGGCGCCTTGGGAAGCTAGCCAGCGACATGGAGCGAACGCCTCCGCCAAGGACACCAGTCCAGCCTCGTCTCCTCTTCACCCAGTAAGGAAGCCAAATTCCCTTCCTGCAAAGGCAATAAACCGTCTCATCAGGGGAATCACGTGTCCTCACAAGCACTCACAAGCATTCCCTGGCTCGTTCCCAGGGCGAGGCGTCCATCTTCCGCAAGGCAGCTCGTTCTGGGGTAAATTGCCCGCTGTTGGCACAGAGATGGGCTAGCGCCTAGGAGAAGAGTCAACGTTGCTGCTCGGAATACAGACAGACTTCTGCCATGGCACCTCTCTCCCCAACCAGCTTTAAGTAAGATCCATTGGCTGAAATTCCGATCTCCAAAGATCTACAGTTCTGTCGGCGACAAAGCCCCTGCCTTGATCAGTGATGGCAGCCCTTGATGTATTCATTACACATGGGCACTGTTTGTACCAAACCTGTTCTTTTTGCAAAAGTTGATCTTATTACCAGACAGGAGAACTCGCTCCCTCCAAAGGAAATGGCTTCTTGAGGGTCTATGTCTCTTTACCCTCCACTTCCAGAGAGAAGCAGCCAGCAGGTTTCCATGCCACAGGGTGATGCCTATAGGAGCGCTGCCATCACCGGGGTGATGCAACAGCCCCCCCCCCTCAACTGCAATCAACGCTTGAGCCGTGATCGAGAAGCCTGCTTCCTTGCCCCACAGAGAGACGGTGTGCTAGCCAGTGGTGAAAGCACCATGCCGTGCCCACAGTGCTCTTCCCCTGTCCTGCCTTCCGGAGGCAGAGAAACTAGCTGACCGGGATGGTGGAGGTGGCGCTCATCGTCCACTCTGGGCTGCTGGGATCAAGAAGCCATCAGCCACCCGGTGTGGGACTTGGCCGAAGTTGGGTCTCTCTCAGGATGACGGGGGGGCGGTGGCGGTTCCAAACACCTTCCTCCTCCATCCGCCCTTTGTCAAGCGACCAATAGGCGTGGCACCTTCTCTGGTTCCCCTTCGTAGGAATGAAGAGATGGTCGGAGGCCTTCTGAGCCAGCAGGACAAGCTGGCCCTCTTGCAGTGGGTGGGATCCAGGACAGCCTCCTACACACTGATGTGCCATGAGAGCGCCAATCTCAGAAGTTCCCAAATCTGAAGAAAATTGTGTGGGGAGGGAGGAATCTAGCAGTTAATCCAACCCACCTTGCCCCTGGTAACTCCAACACAAACCCCCTGCACTTCAGGGGCAGGCTTTCGAAATCCAAAACCACATCCGGCTCTGAATTTTGCAAACAGGCTCTCCCTTCATAACGGGCTGAACCGAACTCCCCAGTCGAAGCGCCCATTAACTAAGGGTGTTTGAAATCCAGATCCAGCCGTTAGGGGGCTCGAGCCCACTGCTGGATTTAATTTGTCTCCTCTGAAAGCAGGGTGGGTTAGTTAGGGTTTGCTTTTGTAGCACACAACTCTAGATCAGGGACACCCAAACTTCGCAAGCTGATGGTAGCTTTCCAGGAGTAGGGGAGCTGCACTTAATGTGCATAAAATGGAGCCAGAGAGGCAACAAGAGGAGATTACCAGTCCCAGCATGCAGTGTGCCATCCTGCCTCTTAGCGGCATCCAGTTGGAACCTTTGCATGCTAGGATTTGTAGTCACCTTGGACCTCTTGAAAAATAACAATTGGCCATATTGTTGAAGTCTATAGTTCTGTCACTGCCCTCTCTGCATGGGAAGGAATATGGGGAAATGAGCGAGGACTTTTAAGCAAATCCACAGGCAGAGGGGAGGAAAGGATGCCACAACCAGCAAAACGAGAGAAGCTACAATACAGGGGAAAGGAGAACAACACAGCCTCCGAAAAGCCACATTTTGCTACCTTTTAACACAAGTCAGACTAGTGGCTACAAGTCCTGTAAACTGAGATGTCACCTTCTGACCTTGTGCAGAGACTAGGGAATGACCTTAAAAGAAGCAAAGTAAGTATTTATTTCTGTAAACAAAACAAAGAAGACTTGAAAGAAAAATTATATACTCAGCATGTTTATACACTATGCTTAAAGACTATCCTGTCTGAGAGTCACGTCTGAAGACTGAAGATTCCTGCTGCTAGCTCAATTTTTCTGTCTCCAATACTATTCAAGCTGTTTCCAACAGCACATGGGAAGCCTGCCCATCTGACATCGGGAGAGTTAGGTATGTTCTGTGGCAAATTTCTTTCCTGGTTTGGATGGAGTGGGGGGAGGAGGGGAGCCGAAAATTCTTTGAAAATGTTATTTACTGGTTTTGAAAAGTCAGGCTTTTTTTTATCGTATTTTCTGCTTGTGGATCCCGGTGCAGTGGCGTGTGGTTCGTCTGTGTGTGACACACATCCCTTCCACCCCTCACTTGGCTTTTGTGAATCATGGCCGTGCATTGTAGTTTGAATTTGTTACTTCGCTGTGCCATCTTCCCCCACCTAGAAAACGAACGGGTCATGGGCTCAAGTCCTTCTTCGGACTTGTGCCTTCGTGTTCTGTGGAAATCCTTTAATCAAAAACTACATGTGCACACGCACGCACCCCCAAACGAACCAGTCTTTTGGGCATAGAAAATGAAATGTAAGCCACACTGTTTATATAACTTCTGATCAGTTACAGTAATGTCTGCAGTGCTTTGAAGTTGAAAAGCACTCTAGCCAGTAGCTAAGGATCATTACTGATCATCTGCTGAGTTGCATGGGACAAATACTTCAAAGAGAGGCCACTTTTTCTTACGGCTTGTGTAGTTAGCCTGAGGGACTCACTGCTGCAGAGGCAGAGAAAGAGTCAGAGAATGGGACATGGCAGGACATGATTCTGCCTTTCCATTGTTAGACGGGGGCCTAGTTTGGAACCCCGAAGCTGAGTGCCCCAAACCTGCAAAGAGATCCCATTGCAGTTTTATGTGACCTGCTGAACTGAATTTGCAAGGGCAGGGAAAACAAGAGAATTTCCCGTCAGCACTGACAAGTTGTTCCTTGGCTCTGAACATTTAGGCCAAAAATCGGATACCTAAGGTCTAGGCTACTAAATCCAGAGTTAGACCCTGATCTCACAAAGACTTATACACAAACTTAGTTTTACTCACGGCCTTAGGCAGCTGCGTCAGTGGCCTGATTCTCAGAGGGGCAAAGCAACTCCAGGTTTAACCGTAGTCACTTCCTCGCCTGGGAAGGCATTTTTCTTCATCTCTCTCTTTTTCCCATGGTTTGCAGGATCATTTGCTAAACACATCATGGCATGCCCTTCACCAGGCACTCTGCAGCGCTGAGCACTTTGGATGGCTCCACCCTGGGGATCTTCACAAACAAATGGCTACGCTGGGAAATAAGCTGACTCCCCTGCTGGGGTCTGTAAGAAATCCACTTCCCCCCTGCCCTAGGGTGGTATTGCACAAGCGGGCAGGGGTGTTTGGGGGAGGCCAAGGGCTGGGAAGTCCCCGCCTCCTCGGACGTGTTAAGTGTAGGTTTAATCAATGTCAGAAGCAGGGTATTGGGCTAAACAGAGCAGCGTTGTGGGCTAACATGGCAATCCGTGTGTTTAAGGGCATGCTAACTACATAGGGTGTAGAGAAGTCCTGGGATGTGCCTGGTCTTCACTGGCAGGGTTGGTAAAGTCAATGGTCACATTCACTGATTAGCTTCAGAGTAACAGCCGTGTTAGTCTGTATTCGCAAAAAGAAAAGGAGGACTTGTGGCACCTTAGAGACTAACCAATTTATTTGAGCATAAGTTTTCGTGAGCATCCGATGAAGTGAGCTGTAGCTCACAAAAGCTTATGCTCAAATAAATTGGTTAGTCTCTAAGGTGCCACAAGTGCTCCTTTTCTATTCACTGATTAGTTTTTCCCCATTTCAAATACCCTGTTGCTCGCCCCTCTGCTGACTCAATGGCGAGACAGTCAAGGGGCTCCTCGCCTGTCCCGTTCCTTGGCAGTTGTGCCTCCTGGCACTAAGCAGGCGTAATGACACGTCCGTGCGGCAGCTACCGTGCCCCTGCCGTGCAGAAGTGATTTGCAGACTCCTGCACGCTGAGACAGTGATGGGTAATGTGGAACTGTTCTGTGTACGGTGCGATTATCAGCCACTAGTGAATCAGCTCTATGTCTTTAGTGTTGGCTATTTCTTGTCCCGGAAGTGTACTTCCCCATCAACTTGCACTTGCGTGTCTGAGCCTCTATCCTGCAGTCTTTCCTCAGGTCAAAGCCCCATTGACTATAAATTCCCTTGTGGCTGAAGGGACTTTTCTGGGAAAGTTCAGATCTCGGGCCCGTTGCTCCACAGGATACGTGTGCAGCTTGAAAGGGCCAGGGAACCCTTGACTTGTGTACAGTGGAACTTTCACTGTCCAACCCAGAACTTGTGGGCTGATGCAAACTGACCGAATTCACACCCGAGCTTCCCTGGGTAGACAAGCCCACGTGTGGGAGTGGCGGGGGGTGGAGAGTGGTACATAGTTGCTGGATTGAGCAACAAGGGAAGAGGAGCGTTGGGGGCTGTGACTCTCCAGACCGACTCTGGGCGCTCGGGGTTAGACACGCCGCTAGGGAAGAATAACTGGGCGCTGCCCTCGCCACCTGCAGTGCGCAGGGGTCTAGTTATTGGATTGGGTTCCAGACCAGCCAGACCCCTTTGTGTGAACGCTCTTGATTCCTGCTACTAGTTGTTTATGGTCAGTCAGGGCTTTTCACCCACCATCATTTCCCAGAGCAGCCACTGTACCAAGCCCCAGCTGCAAAATCCTCCCCTCCTGTGATGGGAGAAGATGGGGCACTTTGCCCCCAGCCTGCTGGCTGGTGCCACAGACTCTGAGGAATGTGGGAAAGACGCCCAGTGAGGGCAGGGGAGACCTGCTCTGTCTATGATGCTAAACAACAACCCTTGATTGTGGGGCAGGCACCTTCCTTGCCTCTTTGGCTTTGCAGGGCCAGGAATGGAGGTCCAGACACTCATGACACAAGCCACGTGGTGCAACATTATTCCTAAGCTGTCAGCAATCCTGCTGCAGGGGGTCCCTTCTGGCTGCATATTCCAAGGGAGGATTTGTGTTCGTCTGGGATTCCTGCGGTTCCTCACGGACTATTTGTAATGAGGGGCGGGGTCTTATTTACAGGGGTGGGGCCTATTTCACAGATAGCAAGGCCCAGCTTCTTACATCAAGGCTTCACTTACAGGAAGGCAGGAGACATACAAGACCGGTTGTCTCCTGCTACTCCAGCTTGTTGTGTTTTTCTCCCTAAACATGTGGTCCACCCTGCTCCCTCAATGGAGAGGACAGAGTTGGGATGAAAGGTGGAGAAGCAGGGGGAACCTGCAAGGAGCGTGGTTTTCAGTTCCTGTAGATGTGGTCGCCCCATCTCAGAAAAGATCTATTGGAATTGGAAAAGGTACAGAGAAGGGCAACAAAAGTGATTAGAGGTATGGAACAGCTTCCATATGAAAAAAGGTTAATAAGACTGGGACTTTTCATCTTAGAATAGAGACGACTAAGGGGGGATATGACAGAGGTCTATAAAATCATGAATGGTGTGGAGAAAGTAAATAAGGAAGTGTTATTTACGCCTCACAACACAAAAACTAGGGGTCCCCAAATGAAATTAATAGGCAACAGGTTTAAAACAGACAAAGGAAGGGAGGGAGAGAAGCAGAGTGGGGCGGTGCTCAGGGGAGGAGGCGGAGCAGGGGTGAGCTGGGGTGGGGAGCAGTTCCCCTGTGTGCCACTCCCCCCCCCATCCCCCGTTACTTGCTGCAGGCGGCCCTCCCCGCGCCCCTCTGCCCCAGCTCACCTCCGCTCCACCGCCTCCCCGGAGCGTGCTTTTGGCCGCCCCCAACCACTTGGCGCCCTAGGCAACCGCCTAGTTCGCCTAGTGGTTGCACCCGCCCTGGGTCTGACCCAGCATGGCCGTTCTTACGATCAAGTCTCTGGCTTCTGGGAATTTGAAATTCACATCCAGTTCCCAAGGTGAAGAGCAGGTGTCTCAGTGCTGAGTCAGCCAAGCCTGTGCAGCTGTCTAGACTGGCCATCTCGGACTTGGCTAAAAAGAGCTCCACCCAGCACTGAGTCTCCTCCACACCCTACACCTGCAACTTGAGCAATGGAAGGTTGGGGAGTACAGTGCAATCCACTGATTTAAAGCAACTCCCTGACAGTGGGTAGGCGAGGTTAATAGCTAAGGTCACGTCTAACCTACCACTTCTGTCAGTATAACTCATGTCGCTCAGGGGTGTGACACAAACACCGCTGAGCGACAGAAGTGACACTGACAGACGCACCAGTATAGCCAGGGCTGTCAGTGGGAGAGCTTCTCCCGCCGACATAGTTACCGCCGCTCGTGGAGGTGGGTTTATTATGTCCAGGAGAGAGCTCTCTCCCGTTGGGAAGGAGCAGCTGCACGAGCCATCTGAGAACGGCACAGCTGCATCGGTACAGCCCTGCCACCGTCAGCTCGCTAGTGTAGACATGGCCTAACGCTGCGGGTCTGAGTCCTAGCCAAACTTGTGTAGCAAAGTGCTCAGACCGCCAGGTGGGACCGAGTACATGAGGGCACATACACTCCGAGTGTGTGTGTGTGTGACAAATGCATCACGGACCGTGAAATCTGGTCTTGCCCATGAAATCTGGTCTTTTGTGTACTTTTACCCTACACTGTTTCACAGAGGAGACCAGCATTTCTCAAACTGGGGGTCCTGACCCAAACGGAGGTGGCCGGGGGTGGGGGAAGCGGGGTGTTGCAAGGCTGTTTGAGGGTTGCGGTATGGCCACCCTTCCCTCTGCCCTGCCTTCAGAGCTGGGTGGCTGGGGAGCGGTGGCTGCTGGGGCCAGCAGCCGCCCAATACCACACCAGGCCACCCGTACTTCTGTGCTGCTGCTGGCAGGGGCGCTGCCTTCTGGCGCTCCCCGGCTGCCCGGTCCTGAGGGCAGTGCCGCTGCCAGCAGCAGCGCAGAAATACGGATGGCAATACTGGGGCCCCCGGACAGGAACTTTGCAAACCCACCACCACCATCCTCGCTGCTCCCTTTTGGGTCGGAACCCTACAGGTTCGACACCGTGACGTGTCAGATTTAAAGAACTGAAATCGGGACCTTTATGATGTTTACAATCCTATGACAGTGAAATTGACCTAAGTGGACCGTGAATTTGGTAGGGTTCCCCGCCTCCCCCCATATATACACAAACACACTCTTTTTTTGTTTTTTGGCAATCCAGCCCTAAAAAACATACCTGCTGAAAGCACCCTTTGAGACTGGGAAATACAGGGAGGCTGAGGAACGGGAGCAATGAAGCAAGAAGGCCAATCGCTAAACGACTGGGGCAGGCAGACTTGTACAATACACAGACCCTTGTCAATTTGCCCTAAACTGTAACAATGAAACTGGGATTTGCAGGTGCCCTTCCTCTCTTCTCCCTTCCCCCCCAGACACTGCAGGGGATGGGGGGGACTGAAGGCAGCACCGGGAAGCCTGCAGGTTTCTCTCCTTCCTGGATTCTTGCCAGAGCGCTCCTCCCCACGTACCCTGGAGGAGTGTGTGTCTCCATACAGACTAACACGGCTACCCCTTTGATGATTAAATAAAAACTGAGCAGTAAATCTCCAGCCACAGGAGGGCTATTGTGGGGAAAGCTGGGGGAAACGGGTAGCTTTTTGCTAATGGGTGGGGTAGATGCACTCTTTTCTCTGGGGGAAGCAGGCTGGATTTTCAGAGTAACGCTGAAACCCGGGATGCTCTCATGGAAACACATGTAGCTTCTGAGATCTCATTAGCAAGAAGATCAGCTATTGCATGTTGTCAGATCTGCCATGGGCTTAGAGGAACAGTCAGGTTTCCACCTTCTTTAAGAGGATGAACTGGTCAGTTCCTTCCGGGGCAGTTCATGAGAGGTGGCAAGTCAGGAGAGAAGGTAAATCTCAGATCCCTGCTGAAGGTGAGGAGGCCATGGAGAGAGCGTCCCAGTGAGTGCAGGTGCGTTCAGAGTCTGGCTGCAGTGGGAACGGACGGCTCTGGAAATTGGGGGGCCTGCCAGTGCCTAATGAGGTGTCAGTGGTGCGAGGGACCCTGTGGGTTGCTTTCGTGTGGAGCGGGGCCTGACCAAAATGCCACATGCAAACACACCTGAACTCTGGCGTGGGCCAACACAAGCACCCATGTCTAGACTGAACAAGGACACCCAATCCAAACCGTCTGCACTTTTGAGGAGCTCCTATCTGAGCCCCAGGGGCGGTTTGGGCCCTGCTCTGTGTCTGTTTCATATTTCTCATGGAAAGGATTGGCCATTCAGGCTGTGCGGCTGCTCTTCCTGCAGTCTGGTCTATTCCAGAATGGAACGGGTGCTCGAGTGAGCATCTGAACT